GCGGCAGCAGAAAGAGCTTGGCGAAAAGCGTAGATGCTGGCGCGGGAGCTGCTGCGCCTGGCGTGCCCGTGCTCGCCTTGTAGTTCCCGATGCTTGACAACTGCAGCATGGCCTGTTGCTCGGGCGTTAGAAGTGCAGCACTCGTTGCGTGGCCCGCGGACGAAGCCGCGTTACGGTACAAACCGAGCGTGCGCAGCAAATTTTCCCCGGTGGTACCGCACACGACTGGCTGTGGCAGCTCGATGGTCTGCGGAATTTGGATTGCCTTTTTGTTTTCGACCTCGATTTGTTTCGGATCGCGGTCCGCCAAAAACCGATCTTCCTGGCTCTGCAACTCTTTTTCGTTGGTCACGTCAACGTCGTCAAACCAGCGCAGGCGGCGGTCCTCGACCACGTTCAAGGCGCGTCTGCTGTTCAGGTGGTCCACAAGGAACTCCAAAGCCTGACTCAGGTTCTCCACCTTTTTCTCAATTACCTTCAGCCAGTTGTCAAAGGTTTCGTACATGGCCTGATTGATCTCCTCCTGCTCGTACGCAGTGCGCAGCGCCAGCGAGTCTTTCCGTCTCTTTTGCTGTTCCTTTCGGCGCTCAGGGGTAAGGGACGTTGCACCTTCCAACTCTTTGTGCTTTTCCAGCTCGGACATTTTACCAGTCAGCATTTCGTTGAAAAGCTGCTGCAGCTGCTGTTTCTGGTCATTCTTCTTTTCAGGGTCCGCGTGGTCTGCAGCGTCCGCACTGTAGGCGCTCCACTCCCCGTCGAGTCTGCAGGCCTTGTGGCCCTTCCCGAAGGACTGATGTGCGTTCATCGTGATGGTCAGGAATTTCACATCCTCCAAGATCTGTTGAAAGATTATAGCAGTGCGATCCACCAGTCGGTGCAGGAACAGTTTATCCCCGCGCTCGAACGGAACGCCGGCGCGTTGGGCCATGTCGTCCGTCAAGCTGCGCTTCGGCCCGTTCAAACCCTGGATAAGGTACGAGTGCACGTAGAACACCGCCGAGAATTCCTTCGCAAGCTGCAAGAAGAACGAAGCGTTCGTTGTGAATTTGTCGAAGATAATGCGAAAAACGCTGCAGAGCTTCCCCCGGACGTCTGCTTCCTGCGCTACATTCCCAGGTGCGAACTTTACGGCGCTTGCTGTGCTTGACAGGTCGGCCTCAAACTGCACCCCGATCAGCTTCCCTGCTTTCTTGAATTGCTGCTCCGTCCAGGGGTCCTTTGTTTCCAAAAATTCTTCTTCGCTCTGACGCAACGGCTGCCGGATTCTCGCGTCGATGTTGAGCCACTGCTTCACGTAGAGCCAGTAGAATCTATACAGAGATACCCCGAAAATCGCAAACCGCTTTTGCAAAGCCTCGTAGATCTTCGCGAGCTTTTCGCCGCCCAGCCGCGCGCGCCCGGTCAACAGCGCGAGCGCAATCCGGTGCTTTTCCAGCGCCAACAAATGGCCGTTTAGGTCGAAAAACGCCTGGTCGTCTTCCTCCTTCCGCAGTTGCTTCTCGTTCATCGATATCAAATGCAAAAGTGTCTGGGTCTGGAACAAAGCAACTTGTCATGCTAAATCTGAATCATGTAAAAATCTATGTTGCATGATTCCCAAAGGCTGTCCACTTTTGACCTAATCAAGAGGCAGTTTCACATGCAGGATAGGCATGATAGAAACCTCCTCACATGATCTGTCATGCTATGTCCTGCATACCAGTCCTCATGGATCATGGAAAACCTGCACGACAAATCTGGCATTCTTTCAGACCAAGATATTTCTACATTTGATAATCGAGGTGAGGGAGAGCAACTCCCGGTCGATCAGTTCGTACTCAACCTTCTTGGGCGTCAGCACCACCCGCCCCGCGGCTGGATTCGGTGCGGGTTCTGACTGCCGCTTCGCTCGTTCCAATTCGGTGCCGACGGCCGGGTAGAGCTTTAGCATGACTTGGTCAATCGCTTCTAAAGCTAGTGTGCTACCGGTTTTCTTTGCCTTTCTGGTTAGCGAGCGGAACTTCCCGTCTTGCTCCAGCAGGTCTCGCTCCGCCTGGGCGAGCAGATTCGGGTCCTCGTCGAACATGTCTTTCACCTTGCGCAGCTCCTGAAACCTCTTGTACATGGAGCTGCCCAACGTGTTTCGGACGAACTCCGAGATGAGTCTTCCGGACAGCTCTTTGACGTACGTAGGCTCTGCCAAAACGTGCTGCAGCTGCTGCGACAGCTCCGCGACCCCGTTCCAAGAATCCTTGGAGGCTTCTTTGCTCGTCGCTTCGGCACCGTCCCCCTTGAAATCCCGGCTCGCTTGGAGCAAGTGCGACAGCTTTCCGGCCAAGGCCGCGTTTTTGCCTTCCGCATTGGAAGCAGTTGCTCCACTTGTCTGGCTGTCGGACAACTCCTTCACTGCGGTTTTGACTCGCGACAAAGAGTCCAGCACCCGCTGCTCAGCACGCTGCTTGCGTAGAGCGTGGCTCGTGGTGTCCTCATCCTTGGACCACCCTTCGTTTTGCAGGTTATCCAAAGCGTCGTCAATTGTCGTAGAGGTGGAAGACGGCAGGATACATGGTCAAGAAAAGCGCAAATTTGTGTCGGTTTTGCGAACTTAGAACTAAGTACTCTGCTTGACTGAGCCTGTAGGTCTCGCAAGCTGCCGCTGTTCTTGGCTTCCTCTACAAGCGAAGCGTGTCGATTTTCTAAAGGAATGCCAGTGCAGATGACAACTACAAACAGGCGTCTCCCTTATTTGCGGTTTGTGGTTAATATAGTCTCCTGAAAATTATAAACATCTTTTACGCTTGCGCTTGATCATGCTATTATCCTGCCATGTTCCATCTGCCTAAGTTCCTCGTCCTCCTCGTCATCATCCTTCGGCAGTTCGGGTTTGCGCTCTTTCAACAAAAATTTGTTTGCAGTTTTCAACATGGAATTCATCGTGCTGAGGACCACCGCAGCCGAAGTTTCCGCGTTGTTGCTGCTACTCAACGGAAAGCCGGGCTCCACCTTGACCTGGAAGTTTCGAGGAGCGCCGTCTGCAGAAGAATTCCCTGATTTTGGCGCCCGAATCCACAGTCCGATCCTCTGAACTTTTACGTCTGGCTTCTCGGGTTTCTCTTCCTCCCCGCTCTCGGAGGCGTTGTCTTCGGGAGAAGGAGCTGGGTTGGGGACCGGTACTTGTGTCTCGACTGCCCACCAATGATCCTCCGGCTGGCCGTCTATAGCTGGTTTGTCTTTCAGCCACACCACGCTCTTTTGTTGCAACCGACCGGCGTTGTGTTTGATTTCGAAGAAATCGGTACACGCCGCGTGGAAGAACTCGGAAAACTTTCTGCGGAACACCTCCGTGATACCGTGTTGAGCTGCGATGGTCTCCGGGTCGCCGCCCACAGTCGGGCCCGCGTCCGGGTCGGCGTGGAGTAGCAGGGGCACGGTTTTCGCAGCTTTAGCGCCTGCAAAGTGGATGCGGAGGGTGGCTGCAACCTGCACCTCGACATTCAGATCTGGGTTCCCCTGTAGAATCACACCAAAAAAACCCAGGATCTGCAAACCATTCCAAGCATGCGCTCACTTGCCGTATTTCTCTCGTTGTCGAGAAAAAGACCGAAGGCGCGAACAATATTTTCAGTAGCATAAAAATCTTTCTCAACATGCAGACGTCGTGCTGGCTCCAGACAGCTTTGATCACAGTATCACAGCGTCGCGATCACTTGAGGATAGCGCTTGACTACCGTGCCATTATCAACAAACATAGACCTCGGTGAGAAGGGTACAAATTGATGCCCACTGCATCTCGACAGCACAAGTCCTTTTTACAAAGTGTTTTTTTGCACCAGCAAAGATCCTCCTCATGGTTTTTGATGTGATAGCGCCGTTCTCGCGCATCTTCTTCTCCGCTTTTTCCTTCACGATTTTTGTTTCGTCCGTGCCTTTAGGGTTTAGGGTTTTGTCTTGCTCCTTGCTGTACAAGTGCAAGTCGATTCCCAATAGTGCGAAAATGTTTTTCGTCGGTTTGCTGCCCCATTCGTCCTTCAGGTGGCGGTCGATTGGTAGGAGAATCGGCGCAAACAGACTCCGGGTAAACGTCAGTGTTTCGGATTGCTTAGAAGTTCCGTTCTCCTGCTCCTCACCGTCTTCTTTCTGCTCCTCTTCCCCCCCTGGGCTAGGGCTACCACCAGCCATCATCTGTTTGACCGCGTCAAAGTCCCTGTTTTTGTATTCGTGCACCAATTCCGCAAATGCGTCGGTCAGCATCTGCTCCAAGTAGTCCTGGTACTTGCTGTCCCACTGATTCATAAAATCAATGTCGACCGCCTGGTCCTTCTGTTTTCCCGGCAGTCCTTTCACGACGTGTTTCGGCTCGTGTAAGCTGGACTGCGGCTTTTGTCGGTTCCCACTTTTGTCGCGAAGATCGTTGGTGAAGTGCGGCATGCCGGCGACCCGCATGCCCTCGACAAAGTCCGCAAACGTTGGCTCCGGCGGACTACCTTCGACCGAGCTCGGGCCCGACCCGAGCTTGATCGAAGATAGAGTGTGTTTGCGCTTGGCTGCCTCGTAGACCAGCCGCAGAAAGAGCAGCTCCAACCTCGGGTTTGCCAGCTGGAAGTCAGCGCGCTCCTTGCTGTAGGTCGTGCTTCGCGAGGACGGGGCACCTGCTCCGCTGGTTCCCACAACGAGTTCGGACGCCGAATTACGAACCCTCGCCTTCACGGCGGCCGGAGACTCATTGCCAGAGGTGTCGCCCGGCTTTGAACTTCCTATGAGCTCCTTCCACGCGCCCATGCGGCGGAATGTGCCCCAGTTCGGGAGCTCTCGAAAATCTTCCGCGACCTTGGAAACCCGATCGCGTTCAGCTCGAAGCTGGTCGAGCGGAAGTCTAGTCCCGAGATCCGCGGCATCGGTTCTGGTCTCTATGTCCAGCAGTGCCTGCTGAATGATTTCTGTGCGCGCGAGGCGCGAATCCTTCACTAGTTGCATCCACTCAGAGTCTGCTGCAACCTGTTCTGCGATTTTTTGCAGTTTCTGCCGTCCTGGCGCCTTTTTCTTGTCGCTCTTCAGTTCCGTCTCACTCGTCGGGCGGATCCGCGCAAACAATTTCCTGAACTCCAAGTTGTGCTGCGCGACCTGCTGTTGGCCGTCCGCGGATACGCTTTCCTCGAAAAGGAGGTCCTCTGTCAGCACGTGCGGAAGGAGTGCCACTCTTGTGTGCGACTCTGGAAACATGGAGTCCAGTCGGTCCTGAATGGGTTCTTTCGCCGTGGTTCCCTCGTCGGACAAGTCGAGGGTCGCCGACCCCTCCAGCGCGTTCCAGGGCCGCACCGACAGCGATAAATGGTTCAGCAGCAGTTGAAACTCCGATACGGCATAGGTCATCGCTGGGGTTGGTGGCTCGTTCGCCGGCTTGCTTCCGAATTCCTCGTCGTCCGCATCGTCGGCGGCGCCGCGAGACAGCAGCGCAAACTGCTTCAGGGCGTATTCGTCGGCAGAGCTAGGATCCACGTTTCTGGTGTTTCCGGTCTGCCCCACTGTTAGTGCGCTGTACTTTCTCCCGAAACTCACCAGATTCTCCTCCTCAGTCAATTTGTCTTCCTGCTCCCGAATGCCTTTCCACGCCTGCGCACCTTCGTACGCGCGTGCGCCGGAAAGCGCTGAAAATGCCGCGAGGCCGGCAAAAAATGCCGTCATGACCACAACCCGCGGTCGTCGCTGTTGGTTCGCTGATGAGGTCGTGGAAACCCGCAACATGCGAGAACTGGTTTCTTTTCCTTGCGCAGGGAAAGAGGGTGAGGAAATCATCGCGTGCGAAGAAGTGTCTTTCGTTTACATGGACACGTTTGAGATTTTTGTAAGTATGTGGTTCTTGGAAGAAAATCAATAAGAATAACAGAATATCGTTATATTTCGTGATTCGTAAAGATTTTTGAATATGATCGACGAATAGAAGTAAAAAACAAAAAGAATGTCTGAGATAACACGAAGGAAGTAGTTCGTTAAGTTTGATTTCAGCAATAGATGTTTTGGATGAGAAATATCACTAAGTTTTATTTTTCTTCGAATAACATAATCATATACAATATCAAGTGGAAAATGCGAAGACAGCTTCGAACGGCATGTCTGTAGAAACGATTGCTCGGCAAAAACGATTTTGCCTCAACTCAACCTTTCCATACAGAGCAGGAAAAATGAAGTCTCGCTCGTTATATTTCGTTGTGATATCGGGGATTCTCTATGTGTCAATCGTACATAAGTGGAAGCTCGCGTCTGCGTCTAGCGTTTAGGGGGACTTACTATTGTTTCTTAAAGTCTTTGTTGACTACTCACCTTACATAAAGCTGATGTAGCGGTGTCGACTTTTGTGAGTGCTACTCTGGTGTGACGTAGCCAAAAACTGTAGATCAATGAATAAGCCTGGAGATGATGAAAAGGAGTGATGCTGTGGATGATAAATACCTCTTCGACTTAGAGTTAGACATGAAGAAACTAATACTAATGTTGTGCGATGCGCGCAGCATAGCTGCCAACATCAACACGAAGCAGCTTGCTAGGAATAGTTAGATCGGACATGACGTCCTGGACACACGTCCTGGACCGGAAGGCTAGACCCTTTTTTGACTATACTTGGGTGTTCTGGTACATTGCAAGTAGTGATCACGTATAACATCTTCAGGGGGAGCGAACTTGCAAGAAAGTAGATCTTGTTTGGTCGACTACGTACACTGACTACGATTGATCACAACTTCGGAATCGGATCACTTCTTTGTTCACCCATGGCATTGCGCCAGTTGGTAAAAAAGCTGCAAGATGATCGTCGACGAGCTGGGTCATTATCAAAAAGGCACGCAAGAATGCTGCTTACAATCGATCTGCGTCGTCTGACAGTTGAATAAAAGTAGTGCAGCTCTGTCAAAAGCTTAAGGAGATCTCGCCAGAACTGTCACACTGGAAGATCCGCCAAGTTTTTCTATCCAATGTGTGTGGACCGAACTGCATGTGGCCCGTTCGTACATTATCGTAAACGAAGGAACTTGCCGAAGCAGAGTGTAGTATTGCCCGAATGACAGGAATCAATTTGCAATGAAAATGATTGCTAATACCATCATGGCACCTCGCATTCGTACTACTTTTTATTACTTTCTTTAAAAATACTGTTGATCATCCGCTCTGTAACAGAGCCTCTGTTGTCTTCCATAGAGGCTGCACATCCGTGAGGAAGAAGGCAAGATGCTGACTGACCGATGCTCGGCGTGGAGATCTTCTAGTTACATACTGTTTTTCATTTTTATTGTGACGACACGGCATCCGAGGTGCATTTAAGGTTACGGAATTTTGACGAAAGGCCTATGGAGAAATCTCTTCCTCTTACAATCCCGAGTTAGTCGTCCGGCCGCCCGGATTTCGTTGGCCGGTTGACAAAGTCATGGCTTCCGTACAATACCATAAGGATACCAGGTTGCGGAACAGGAATAAAATCGTAATCGAAATAATTGTGCTGGCCACATCAACCGCGGCACCTCGCCTTCGGATCATCAGAGTCTATTCATACATTACTTCCAAAATAATGCTGTTGATCCGCGCTGTTGTTTTTCACAGAAGCTGTGCACTTCTTAGGAAGGAGGGAAACAAATGCTGATTGATCTTCGCTCGGCATTTCGATGGTCATCCAATTACTAACTTTGATTGTCCTGACAACACAGTGTCCGTGATTTTAGATTTAGAGTTAAGGAATTTCGAATTTCCGTCAATCTCTTGTTGCCTCAAGCGTCGGAAGATCCGCTGGTGGTGTCATCAGATTGCTGCATTGCGTTTCGCTGTAAGAACCTTCTGTTTTGCCGAGTATGGTAGAGCCTCCCATTCGTCCCGCCGCCCCCCGACTCCGCTTTCGCCTTTGGTTTGGACTTCCCGAACGACTTGGCTCGACTCGCGGCAGAGCCGGCGAGATGCTTCGGGGCAGCTGTTCTCGAAGGCTCGTCGTCACTGTCGTTGTCGGAGGAACTGTCGTATGCATCGCAAAAATATGATCCCGGTTGTATGATCTGGTCTCTCACCTGAATACGCATGACAGATTCTGTTTGTCTTTTTGAAGAAGTACGTAGATCACAATGAATACATTTGCGATGCATATGTCGTCATCGGAAGGCCGCTTTGGAGAAACCGGCGGTTTTGGCGCCGGCGCGGCTAGAGCCGAAGATCGACTTTCCATGCCCGGCAAGGTCGTTTGCGGTATTGCAGCTCCTGCTTGCGCCCGCAAACGCTCTTCGTTTTCCGCGCGTTCCTTAGCCTCCCGGTCCGCGCGCTCTTTCGCCTCTTTGTCCGCTTGCTCCTTGGCCTCTCTTTCCGCACGGTCCCGTGCTTCCTGCTCTTGTTTCTCCGCACGAGCTCTCACTTCCTGTTCCGACGATGCTGGTGCGACGCTGCTTGCACTACCACCTGAAGATCTTTCCGGAGGAGAAAACGCTGCAGGACCACCAGCAGCAGCGGGGGCTGCACCTCCCGCAGGTTGCTGCGCCGGGGCGGATGGTCCATTGTCATCACTCGAGTCGTCATCGTCGCTACTTTTGTTGCTTGCCGCGCCTCCCGTCCTTCTTGCAAAGGCTACCGAACTTACTTGACTAATACGACCAGCCCCCACGGAGCCACCCCGCTGTCCGGCGACGGCCCGCGGCTTGGGTTTCGACTTCGCTTTCGGCTTCCCAAGCGACTTGCCTCGACTTTTAGCAGAGCAGGCGCTTTGCTTCGGGGCAGCTGTTCTCGAAGGCTCGTCGTCACTGTCGATGTCCGAGGAACTGTTCTTGTATGCATCGCAAAAGTATGTTGATTCTTACTCGTATGAATTGCAACCTGGCATGACATCTTCAGTACATCTGGTCTCTCAAGAACAACTGAATACGCATTTTTCAAAAAGTTTGTTTTTGATGCAAAATATAAAAACTGTAGTACGTACACCTACAACGCGTATGTGATCGCACTTTTGCAATGCATATGTCGTCGGCAGGAGACCGTTTTGGAGCACCCGGCGGTTTTGGTGCTGCCGCCGCCGGAGTGGAAGCTCGACTTTCAACGCCCGGCAAGACCGTTTGCGGTATTGCAGCTGCTTGCGCCCGCAAACGCTCTGCGTTTTCCGCGCAGTCCTTGGCCTCCTGGTCCGCGCGTTCTTTGTCCGCGCGCTCTTTTGCCTCGCTGTCCGCTCGTTCCCTGGCCTCTCTTTCTGCGCGATCTTGTGCTTCCTGCGCGGCTGCGCGGTCCTTTGCCTCTTGTTCCGCGCGAGACTTTTCCTGCTGCTCCACACGGTCTCTTGCCTCTTGTTCCGCGCGGGCTTTTTGTTCTTGCTCCAAACGCCGCTCCCGTTCGACTCGCTCCTTTTCCAGTTGTTTCTCCCTCTCCTCTTGCTCCAAGCGACCTTGTTGCCTCTCCTGCTCCTCGCGCTTCGCTACTGCAGCGGCGTCAGCCAGGGCACTAGTAGTACCCGACGAGGACCCCGCAGCACCTGCCACTTCCGCATCACTGCTGTCATCGTCGCTGGAGCTGTTATGTTCGGGGGCACCTCGCGCGCCGCGCTTCGCAACTACCCTTGCCTTCGGTTTCGCCTTACCGGCGGGGGACTTCGGACCACCAGCGGCTTTCGCCCGCGGCGGGCCCGCCTGTCGGGGAGGTTCGTCATCGGAATCGACGTCGGACGAACTCTCATCGTGATCTCGACGAGCAGCAGCAGGTGGGGGTTTAGGAGTTTGGGAAACAGGTGTTCGTGATTCTTCATGCGGCAGAGTAGCAGGACCACCAGCAGCAACGGGGGCTGCACCTCCCGCAGGTTGCTGCGCCGGGGCGGATGGTCCATTGTCATCACTCGAGTCGTCATCGTCGCTACTTTTGTTGCTTGCCGCGCCTCCCGTCCTTCTTGCCGCGCCTACCGAACTTCGTTGATTACGACCAACCATCACGGGTTCCGGCTTCGCTTTGGGCTTCGGCTTGGATTTCGACTTCGCTTTGGGCTTCCCAAGCGACTTGCCTCGACTTTTGGCAGAACCGGCGCTTTGCTTCGGGGCAGCTGTTCTCGAAGGCTCGTCGTCGCTGTCGTTGTCCGAAGAACTACTGTCGTATACATTGCAAAAGTATTTATTCGTAGGTGTAGTATGAAAAATTGTTGAATTCTCCTGGCATGACATGTTCAGGTATGGTCTCTCAGCTGAATACGCATGACAGATTCAGATACTGTGTCTCATAGAAAAAGCTTTACCTGCTTAATTATGCGAAACCGAAACTTCTTCGTACGTAGGCGATCATAGTACTTTTGCAATGCATATGTCGTCATGGGGAAAGCGTTTTGGAGCAGCGGGCGGTTTTGGCGCCGCCACAGCCGCCGCAGCGGAAGCTCGACTTTCAACGCCCGGCAAAACCGTTTGCGGTGTCGCAGCTGCTTGCGCCCGCAAACGCTCTTCGTTTTCCGCGCGGTCCTTGGCCTCCAGGTCCGCGCGCTCTTTGTCCGCGCGCTCTTTTGCCTCTCTGTCCGCTTGCTTCCTGGCCTCTCTTTCCGCGCGATCTTGTGCTTCCTGCGCGGCTGCACGGTCCTTTGCCTCTTGTTCCGCGCGAGCCTTTTCCTCTTGCTCCGCACGGTGTCTTGCCTCTTGTTCCGCGCGGGCTTTTTGCTCTTTCTCCGCACGAGCTTTCTCCTCCCGTTCGCGCTCCGCCACTGCAGCGGCGGCAGCCTGTGCACTAGTACCTGACGACCCCGCAGCACCTGCCACTTCTGCATCACTGTCATCATCGCTGGGGCTGGAGTTTTCCGCTTGTCCGCCCCGACGCACGGGTGCACCTCGCGCGCCGCGCTTCGCAGCTACCCTTGCCGTCGGTTTTGCCTTACCGGCGGGGGACTTTGGGCCACCAGCGGCTTTCGCCCGTGCCGGACCCGCCTGTCGGGGAGGCTCGTCATCGGAATCGACGTCGGACGAACTCTGATCGTGAGCAGCAGTTGTTGGGGGTTTAGGAGTTTGGGCACCCACTGTTCGGGACGTTTCTTGCGGCAGAGTAGCCGGGCCACCAGTAGCAGCAGTCGCCGCGGTTGACGTCGGGGATGTTGGGTCAGCATCAACACCATCTGCACTTCTAGTTCCTGATTGTTCCTGCGGTTGATGTAAGTATGAATTGCAATGTGGCATGACGTCTTCAGATCTGGTCTCGCAGCTGAATACCCATGACAGATTCCGTTTCTCGCTTTCAAAAAGTTCATTTATGCAAAATGTACTTGAAGACGTATGTAGCAGTACTTTTGCAATGCATATGTCGTTATCCGAAGTCCATTTTGGAACAGCCGGCGGACATGGCACAGCCGCAGCTGGAACAGAAGCGCCGGCGTTTGCATTCAGTGCTGCAGAGAAAGCAGAACTTGGGTGCAGTTGTCCCTGTTGCCGATTTGGGGCGTCGTCCAAGGCGTCGGTCGCTACGCCGGCTGCGTCGCCACAAGCCTGTCCACTGGCGGACCCCATTGAGGAATCATTCTGCCCAGTCGCGTCAGCTACACTGCCGTCCGAATGAATGGTGGAATGGCTTTCGGGATCTCGCGTTCCAGTTTGCTCAGACCAGTAGGGAGTCGTGCACGACGCGGGTTTGAAACTGGAAATATTCTTCGCAGTCTCCTGTGAAAGTGGCGCCGCACCGGCAGAGGCAACACGACAGTGCGGAACGGCCGACTCAACATCGGAATCACCGTCAGAGCTGCTACTGCACGGCCTTTCTGGGGCGAGACGGGGTTGCTCTGTGGTTGAGAGCGGCGCGCTTTTCGCTGTTGAAGACGCCGTGTCCATATCAACGTTTTGGAGATGATCCGACTCCGCAACATCACTAGTCGCTGCAAAACCACATGGTGTCAGTGCCGAGGAATTATTTGCCTCTGCATGAGCATTCTCTTGTCGCACATCACATTCTGGCGCTGCGTCAGCTTTCCCTGTCTCTGCACCAACCTCGTGCCGGCCATCACCCTCTGGTGCTGCGTCAGGAAGTCGGCTCGGTGCGACCACAGAAGAAGTGATGTTTATAGTCTTTCCGTCCAGGACCGATGCGGTGGCGGTGTCAGAAGAGTCAAATCGCGTAGTAGAAAAGCCTACATCATCTACTTCACGAAGTTTCGAATCGGCGCTTTTGTTCTCAACGAGTGACAAAGAACAGTTTGTCCCTACGTCATCCGTGCCTGACAGCAACAAAGTATGACCCTTCTGCGCAGTCAGCATCTCCTCGACAGTATTTTTCGGCTCGGCGGCACACGGCGCACTCAGCCCTGATTGTGTTGGTACTTCTGGAGAATCTTCCTTTTCACTGTCCGATTCGTCCTCCAGACTCGAGATACTGCTACGGCAGAATGACTCTTCGTCGGAATCCTCTTCCGCTGACGCAGGATTTTCTGTTGCCTCAAGGGCAGCTTGCTTCCTTTCGCGATCCTCTCGTTCGATAACCCTCCAATCAAGGCCTGCCACACTGGACCCGCCTACTGATGAGCAGGGTCGACGTCCAGCTAGCGATGAGGGGGCACGTGATCGGGCGCCATCAGACGTGCTTTCCTCATCCGAGGCCTCGTCTTCGCTACATGTTTCTACAACTCGTGACTCAGAGTTGTGTATCCTACGCGAAAGAAGTTGACCCATATTTTACCTCGAAAAAGATGCCGTGGCGCGTGTCATTCAAATTTTTTATCTGGCTTTGATGCAAAAATTCTGATGGGTTTAGTGCGGGTCGCGCAAACCGAACTGTTTGCTTCCCAAGGCGAGCTGCCTGCCTGATTCTGTGCAGAAAGTACTTAAGTAACTACACCATCTTCAGTCAGAAATCCAATTTCTGTGCTGGTTTCTATGCCGATCAACTTTTGCTATGGATACCACTGCTCGCAAAGTCTTTATCTTCAGCGTCAGCCGGACCTGTCTGTTCTGCTGCGGCAGTGCCAACGTCAGTTGCGTCTTTCACAAGACTGACTCTGCTGCCATCATCCTCACGAGCACCAGAGGCCGGGGGTGATATCGAATGCTGCTGAAGGATTCCAGCAGGTGCTGTGCTTGGCGAAGCTAATGCCGTAATTGCTTGCCGCTCTGTGGGTTCAGGTTCGTGCTCCGCGGGGGCCGCCACTGCAGCGTGTCTTGCGTCAGCATGGAGACTAGCTCCGGTTTCTGGGGGATTCTCAATCGCCGGATCCGGAGATATTGCTATTTGATCTGCCCCTGTCGCAGAGGCGACACCCACTGTTGCGGGCATCGCTGCCCCGGAAACACCTTCACCCTCCGGGAGAGCCGCATCTACTTGTGCGGGAAAAGTCGCTTCTTCTTCTAGGTTCTGCTTCTCACGGCCCAAATCTCTTGACTCAAAGACAGCACGCTCCGCGTCCGCGCTTGTGGACACCGCTTGCTTTGTGCCGGCAGCATCCGGCTCTGTTCTTTGCACCTTCAGATCGCTTTGCACTAGCGCGGCAGGAGGAGCAGAGGCCAGAACTGGCGAATTATGAACTTCCGAGGCCGCGGGATTGCTTGCTGGCACGCTGCTGCTCGGAGCGACACTTTCCGACGCTACGGCAGGCTCGCTAAACGGGTCATCGCCTCCTTCTTCCGCCAGCACTTGGTGTATTTTCGAGACCCTCAGCAGATTTGCCTCAGCCGCGAATGTAACATCCCCTGACGCATCGTCGCCCTTGTCTTCTGACTGTGCCGCTTCTCCTGGAGGATGCGCTGGCCGCGAGTCGCTGCTGTTGCTTTGTAACGCGGATACTTCTGCGGGAAGATCTGTTGACGCGTCGCTGCCCTTGCTTTCTGGCTCAGTCGCTCCTACTGAAAGATCCCCTGACGGCGTAACGCTGCTGTTGCTAAAAATCTCCTCCCCCGATTCGTCGTTAACGACAATCCAATCGTCCCGCTTTTCGCTCCAGACGAGACGCGCTCGCCCCGAGGAGCCACCCGACGAGACCGCCATGCCGTACTTGCTGCACCGAGCCACGTCAGTTTCCTGCTCACTGCACGTTGCTGCTGACTCTGTGAGGAGTCTTGTCGCAACTACATCTCCGCTACTTGCGTCGGGCCTTTCTTCCGTGGCGGATTTTTTTTTCTCAAGTAGGCCCTGTCCTTCGCGGAAAGCATGCGCTACGACCTCAGAGCCAGGCGGAGCCGACACATCATGCACGACACTCTTTACACGAGGCGAAAACGCCGCGGCTGCCGCGCTGCGCGCGGATTGCCTGGGTCCGGTGTCACCGTTCCTTATTTTTTCGAGTAAAAAATCTAGTTCGCGCAGCACTCGGCGAAACTGCAGCTCCTCGTCAGTAACCCCGACCCAGGATCCGGAGTTTTTCTGGTAGAGAAGCCCCATGTACCGATTGTTCGCAGGGCTTTGGTGCAGCCAAGTTAGCAACCCCTTCAACTCTGCATCCCCATCCTCGTCCAGTCGCGCCACAGCCGCCCGTACTTCGTCGCTGCTGTATGAAGTCAGGCGGTTAATGGAACAGTAAAGAAACTTGTCTTCGTGTAGGTTTTGTTTTAAATACGCTTGCACGAAGCGTTTTACCTCCACTTCGTAGTCGCGGGGGTCTCCTTGATTCTGTAGTACCTGCACAGCCCTGCCATCGGCGACCTGCCGAAATTTCCCACCGCGGCTGATCGGGCTGGGTTCCTCCTTGTCCTCCTGCAGGCGCCGGAGGTCTTCATCCACCACCTCTTCGGCATGCTCAGCATGCCGATGCCCCAGCGCACCACCAGGAAACTGGTGTTGAAACAGGCTGTCTAGTATGCGGGATTTTGCGAGTAGCTCGATCAGTTCCGGCTTTCTGTGCTGGTTCAGCCGAGCGAGTGCTCGCCTTACATCTCGCTCCTGCAGTTCGAAGTCCAATGCCTGCAATCTGGCCTGCATTTCTCGTTCTTCGACGGCTTTTGCGTTTGTCTCTTCCTCCTGCCGTTTTTGTTCGGAAGAAATCATTTGCACTGGTTGTGTCTTTGAGACTCTCAGCAGATTTGCCTCAGCCGCGAATGGAACATCCCCTGACGCATCGTCGCTCTCGTTTTCTGACTGAGCCCCTTCTTCTGGAGGATGCGCTGGCAGCGCGTCGCTGCTGTTGCTTTCTTCTAGCGCGGCCGCTTCTGCGGGAAGATCTGTTGACGCGTCGCTGCCCTTGCTTTCTGGCTCAGTCGCTCCTACTGAAAGATCCCCTGGCGGCGCACCGCTGCTATTGCTTTCGGAGTAAGTAGCCGCCTCTAGTACTGGAAGATCCCCTGACGCCTCCTCAATTCCGGTAATCTCCTTCCCCGACTCGTCGTCAACGAAAATCAAATCGTCCCGCTTTCTGCTGTAGACGAGACGCACTCGCCCCGAGGAGCCGCCCGACGAGACCGCCATGCATCGGGGCTCGTCGCCGCTCTTGCTCTCTGCACCGTCGACAGTGGCGGCGCCAGAAGCTAAATTTTCAGCCTCCGCTTCTGGGCTATCAGCACTACTTTTGGACAGCGATTCGCCTCCTTCCTCCGTGCCGCTAGCACCGGACGCAATGCAAGCGGTATTCCAAGTTGATGCGGAGGCCGCCTCTGCAGCTAAGTTCGCTGCGCCTGCTCCAGCGACGCCCGCCGTGCCTGCGTCTGGATGTGGGTTTGCATCGCCGTACTTGCTGCACCGAGCCACGTCAGTGGCCTTCCGCTTGTTCATGAGGGTGAATCTCTCGTAGTTGTTCGCGGTGATGGTCCTGTAGATGAGCGGGAAGTCCTCCTTGAATTTGAACTTGCTGACGCCCAGGGCCCGGGCCAGGACCAAGGCCACGAACCCGCTCAAGGTTAATTCTTGCTCACTGCCGGTTGCTGCTGACCCATCATGATTAGCGGTCGGCCATTCTCCTGAAAACGCAGCAGCCGTGGCCGGCCGGGTTAGTCCTTCTGCCTCGAAGATGTCGTGAGGCTCCAGCCTTGCGACCGTCTTCCAGTTCTGGCGGCGAAAAATGCGCGGATGTCGTGCGGAGAAGCTGTCAACGGTATCTTCCGGCTCCAACAGTAGTTCCCCAACCTGCGCGAAATGTCGACAGGGCCCGCGGCGGGGGGGGTACAGTTCAGGCATGAAATACTCGTCAGGGTCGTACTCGCAGTCTTGATTTTTGTGTAGGTTTTCGGGAATACCCATCATTCTGTCACTCGTGATATCGTCGACGCCGCGATCCAAAATGTCGTCCAGGTAGGCACCGTCGGTGATACGTTTCGCCCGACGCACAATAACCTGCAATCGCTCTTGGAATACCATCTCAGGGTCAGAGGGCACCACGGCAGGCTTTTTTTTTGTCTGATAAAGCTTCCACTTCGTGGAGTCGCCGAGGTCATACCAGAACCGCAGAGCTACATCGATTTGAAAAAAGTGGCTCTCGTCGGTGCCCGCCGAGATGTTACGGAAATCCAACTGCACCAGCCCATCTGCTTCCGATTCCTCCTGGTCAACCCGCATGCCAACGAGAACCGCTACCGGGCTTGCATCCAGTGACGGGCCGAGTGTGGACTTTGCCGTACTTTCTAGCAAGGTCAGCGGATCGTCCATTCTACCGCCGCAGCGCTTGTTGTTGAAATTGCACTTGTTGCAGCCGCGTTTGTCGGCATGGCAGTTACACACGTCTTTCGGACAGTTGGATGTGCGCTGGGAAACACGATACGATCTTTGTGTAATCTTGCGCGTGTCCTCTTCCTCGGGGGCGGAGTCGTCTACTCTCTTTCCAAACGAAAGATGGCTTGCAATCTGCAGAAACAGCTCATCGCGATGCGGGTACGCAGCGAACATCGACTTCACAATCGCATTTCCAACTTTGATGAGACCCGACGGGTCTTGAGTTTCTGCCATGGCTGAAAAATGCGGAACAGAGAGGCTCAGTAATTCTCTCTCGCGCTGCAACAATAGGTCTTTCCAATGCTCTTCTAAAACGGTGCGCGCATGCTCTCGCTCTTCCACGGATTCATACCTTGTCGCTGGACCGGGTCCTTGGTAGTACGTACTGTCAAAATAGATGGCCCGACGCACTGCTGTTTCCAGAAGATTGGGGCTTGTATGGGTTTGATAGGTTGCAAAGTCCTGCTGCCAAAGGTTGCCTGCGCCACCGCATGTGTGCGGTAGATGGAAACGAATTTCAAGTGGCACGTTCGTAAACCACGGGGCGGTCTCATTGGTCTCGAGCTCTGTACAGGTTTCGGGAAACACGTTTGAGCGGCTGGTCATGTAGTCGTAGTAGGCCCAGGTTGGCTGCCGCCCTTCGCCAACACTTTTTCGACCCTGGTGCCTGGAGTGCTTGCAACTGTCGGATGCTGCATTTGAGTCGTGCCGGCCAGACGCAGACCCAGAGTCGGGGTGCGAATTTATCTCATCTGTCTCAGCAAGCTGCTCATGTCCAGGTCCACCCATGAGTTGGCCATTGTATGTTGCGGGGCGCGAGGTTGCTTCCGCCGCAAATGGCACCACAACATGTCGAGTTATGTCGTACTTCCTTTTGCTGGTATCTTGGTCTTCGAACCGTAATCCCGGCACGCCGCACGCAACATTTCCAATGCTGATACGAGGCAGCCGCATCCACCACGGCTGCAGGGCGGTGGCAAGTACATTTGCTCCATGGCCCTCGTTTTCGGGTCCATCGGAAAGCTTTAAAACCGATGTCATGAACGCAACAGCTGTCTCTGCTGCATCGTGGTGCTGTTTCCGCACTGAGTCGAACTGATCGTCCAGCTTAGACATCCTTGACACCGGCTCTTCGGGATCGAACCCGAAGGGTGTAATTTGTCTAAAATGCCATGTGTGGTGCAATAAATCTCGTAGGCCTGTGGGGTACAGATGACGGAGCTCCTCTTCCGCTCCGGTATACCACTCAATCGGTCTAGACACGTCACGAACCCTCCACTTTTCCCCTAGATAGCCGCGGAAGCGTCGTTGCGATTGATGATTCTGACCGGAGTGGTGTTGCAAATAATCCCACAAACTGCGGAGGAGGACTAGTGACAAATACAACATTTGACAAAATGCGCTTGCCTCCACAAAGTCGCCACGTTTGTGCGCTGCGATTGCCCTCATTAATCGATCTTGCCGTTGCATGAGGTAGCTACGGTCGCCGAGTTGCTTCAAAAAACGACCAAGTTGCACGGCGGGTTCATCCTTGTCGTCGTCTGGATGTTCGCTGCGGGTGAGGTCGTCAACCCAAAAATCTGGATATCCTACAGAAAAAAGCAGGCAGGGCACATTCGAGATGAAAAAAATAATGAACAATGAAACCCCCTGCTCTACGAGCTATTGCGGCGCAATAGCTCGTAGAGCCCTGTCATCTTCCACCAAATAAAACATCAATGGTGAGGTGCCCTGGGCCCCTGAAGGTGAGAATCGAGGGTGGCAACTACAGTCGATCAAACCAACTGATATGCCAGGCAATGGGGAAATGGGTAGGGAACACAAATGTCTCGGCACAACACGAATGAATACCCCGGGATAGCACGAAAGCAAAAAATAATTAGCAGGAAAATAAGCGGCAATGATTTCTCTGCGTTTTCATTTTCGCATTCAAAACATGCCCTGCCTGATTTTTTCTGCGGGATACTGGATAAGCGTCACCCAGAGGGAAAGACCGTATGTCCTCAAAGGCTAATTGCTTATCTACAAATTCCGCTGCCAGCGGGTACTTTTCGATCTCGTTGAGCGCATTGCGACGTCTGTACTTGTACGGTGTAGCTTCTTTCGGAAAACGGATCATGATCCTCCGGTAAAGAAGAAGTATTGCGGGCCCTTTTCGCTCCACTCTGGCTTTATCCAGAGCAGGCCTCTCTGTGTCGCTGTTTTCGCCGGCGTCTGTGAAGATCCTTCTTGTTGCTGTAAGCGAACGAGGCTCGTCTTCCCGGAATTCTGCTCTGTTGTGTGCGGCGCAAAATGAAACGGCGGTTTGATTGCGGTGTGCAGCGAGGGCCCTAAGTATCTGCGATGCCTTCTGCAGTTCGACCAGAGCTGCAGGATGCCTAATCTGCAAGAAAATTGCCGGAGCATCAAAGTTTGGAAGCAAACTCTGGTCTCGAGTTAAGCTGTAGTGCGACGGCAAGTATCGGATATTGGCTGCATAGTAAAGTTTTTCTGCAGTGAGCTTGTAGAAGCTGGCCGGAACAGTTACCGGCGCCGGTTTCTTAGATCCCGCTGTTGTGGTCGACGACCCACCCATACCATCAAATCCTGATATAATTTTTTCTGCTGGGACAGGCCGAAAAAGTTCGCCGCCTATTGGAGCGAGCATTTTCGGCGAGTACGCACCAGGTGGGGGCACTACGGTCGTGCTGTTTAACACAGCTTTGTCCGGGGAGTCTGTGTGAAGCCAGTCCTTCGCCCGCAGCAAGAGTTCCAAAAAAGGTTCTGCCGACTCCCCTAGCAAATCCCGCTTCCAAAATTTCTGGTACTCTAGCCAATCCTCCCATTTTGCGATTTTCACGTCGAGAAAGTGACTGAGATCATGGTCGCGCGGTTCGCGCTCTCTTGCAGGAACAAACGTCGGAAGACACGTGCGCAGCCAGCCCTTGAGCATAAGTTGGGAGTTCGGTTCCCAGCGATGTGGAGCGGCATAGCGTCCCCAGTCTCTGTCCAACACGTTCTGCCAGAGATGCAACAGTTCGGAGACGGTAGGCCCAAGGTCTTTTCTGTGCCAACTTTTGAAGAAGAATTCATGTTTCTCGAACATGGCGAAGTTATAATCCCTTTTCTCGATGGCATTTTTCTCGTCGGTAATGTGTCTCCGGATTTTCATTTGGATGCTCCGCAGGCCCCAGAATTTGGATGCTCCGCTCCGCAGGACCTCGTCTCCCAGAATTTTGCCCATTTCGTCAGGCCCCATCGTTGCTGTCGTCGTAGGACAGGCGCAACTTTTCTGCAGAACGCGGCTACGAAACCTCAGCACGGCGTGCTTGTCTACCGCCACGGCATATTTGTAGCGCAGCCGCAGTATCCACTTCAGGACGTCCGAATCGTCCGGCGCAAGGTCATCCCCGACCCCCGGATTGTCACCTGTATTTCTGAACAATTTCTCTGCCACAGCAAGGTCGCTCCAGGACTCGGACAAACTGGTGTTGAATTTCATCGATCTTGTCCATTCCGGCCCGGGTGGTGAAATCTTCCGAAAGGCATATACCACATGAGACTCTAGAGCACTGTCCTCCCTCAGAAGGCGCTGAATTGTCTCTAACATCTCCAGGTCAATGTGGTACGCGGAGGGGTTTTGCGTGCAGGAATGATCGAGGCTCTTATTGTTCAAGCGCCACGGGGATGTTCTGGATCGGTCGTCCTCTGGCTTTCGCGATTGCCGTCCGGGAGACAAGTATTTTGCCCCTGAACTGCTAAAAGTTTCCCAGACTTTCTGCATAGCGGTGTCTTTACTTCGCATGCAGGCTGCCTCTTCTGGAGAAGCGTCGGAAAACAGGTTTGCGTCCGGGTCTGGTGTTTCTTGTACAGCGGAGAGGCCTGCAAGGTCATATTCACTTTTACGAAAGTCATCATAAAAGTCTATTTCCTGTTGCCACCATGTTGGCATCCCAAAAAAATAAACTATTTCCTGTTGCCACCATGTTGGCATCGCAGTGCTATTGCCAGCACTATGCGCAGAAAGATTTCGCGACGCCTCGTGCCGCCGCTCCCTTGAGAGATCGATCGTAGATCTCGAGACACCAGGTCCGCTCCCACCTCTTTCGACCACACCGCATTTCCTTTTCGTAGTGCATTTTCTGCCAAAAATGGCGTCAGGAGATGGCTCTACAAACGTCACACGAAACTTCTGTATCGTGCCTTCGTCCTTCTGCGGAACGACGCAGTGGCGGTCTATCGTGCTCGAACCGCTGCTACTCGACGTCGCAGACCCCATTTGCATGGGCGAGTCGCTTCTATCGGTCTCCACTTCTGCAGGTGCGCTGCTCGCCGACAAAGCCGCACCATTTGCGGCTGGCCGTCCTTGTGGATCTGACGAGCTGCTACTCGCAAGAGTGGAAACAAGCGCCGCGCCCGTTGATGTGGCGGTGGGCGCTTCCACAGGCGGCGCACTTGATGCACTGCAGTTCTCTACTGGCGTGTTAGCAGGCACAGCTGAGGGATGACTACTTGAGAATGCACTTGCCACCTGAATATTTGTGGTTTCTACGCTGCCGCTGGGAATATCTTCTGGTGAGGTTGCCAGTTGTTCCTCGCTACTAGGATGATCCCGATCCGAACCACCACCAATGCATTCTCCTGTTTGATCACTGGGACGAATAGCGGCAGGGGGGTCACCGCGCCCAGAGATTTCTTGCACCTCAGACACCAGCGAAGCGTCGCTGCGGTCGTCGTCCGGCCTGCCTCGAAATCTCAACCTTTCGTCTGATGCAGTTGCAGCAGCTGCTTCGCCGCCTCCTGCCCTACCACATTCGCCGTTATCGCAGGCATTGGTGCTTATCGACGAAGTGCCTCCTTCTGTCGCTTCAGAACAACTGTTTGAGTTTGACGAAGACGCACTATGAGTTTCGCTCGAAGAGGTAGAGGAGATGGATACGGCAACGCTGCTGCCATTTGCAGAATCTCCTACTGCCGTGTTGTCTTCGGAACTGATAGCATTTTGTCCCACGCTTTGAAAAGCAGTTGAAGCGACAGTGCTCTCTTGCGGAGAAAACAAGGTGCTTTCTCCTGTGGCTATTACGGGAGACGGTTGCGCCTGCTCGGGAAGGCTGCCACGCTCCTGGTTTGATGCGTGCAACGTCGTTTCTGACTCGGGCGCGTCCGTCTGCGCTTGTGTTGACGTATGTTCTTGCGATAAAAATGCATGACGCGGACGAATTACGTGTGTCGGAAGAGAACTGGCCTGGAGGTCGCGATCAGATGAGGCACTTCCACTCAGAGCCTGTGTCGACGAAGTCTCGGGCGGCAGAGGATCTCTTTCGCTTGCAGCGGAGGTTCTCAAAGCTGTAATTGACGAACTTGGAAGTGCTGCCGGTGTTGAGCTGCTGGTGGAGGATGCTGCTGTCGCTCCTGGTGTTGAGCTGCTAATTGAAGACGTTGCTGGTACTGTTGGTGTTGAGCTGCTAATTTCATTGGCGGTTGCTGTTCCTGCGTGATGCGGCGCATCATTTGCCGTGGCGCTGATCACACCGGGAGGAGCAGTCGGTGCTGCCGAACCGGAGACAGGTGCTGCAGTAGTACTTGCAGGTCCAACAGTGCCGAGGGTTGCTGGTGTCGGGGCGATGCCTGGCTCGGATATGATGGCGACTGGACCCCCACCTGAAGGAAAGCGCTGCACCTCTGGTGGAATCAGCGGAAATAGGTCACTGCCGGTCGCCCCAGTCCCGTCGCCACTTGCAGACGGCGCAGTCGGAGGGCCGTTCTTGTGGACTACTGGAACGCCCCGAGTCGATGCCCGCGGCAAGAAGGCCTGCTTGTTTTGCCCGTCGGCATCAATTTTTGGACCAAGAAATGCGACGCCGGCCGAAATACCGATTCCAGCGAAGAGCAAGAGGCAGGGAAGCAAAATTTTTCCAACTGCTGTAGACGTCCAGAAACTCTTCGAAAACACCAGCCCTGCGGTGCACTGCTGGCCACTAGTTGAAGCACGTTCCAGATTTTCAACTTGGTCGCGGCCAGAGTCATCGTTTGAAGTCAACCTTTCTAGTGACGCTCGTCGTAGATCCTCGTTTAATCCTTGAGCTTCTGGTGGACCTGTGTATTGCTGCCCGCTTGGAGGATCTTGGCCGCCTTGTGGCGCTGAGTGGTCTGAGGTTTGTACAAGACTCCGCTGCAACAGCTTCTGGATGGTGGCAAGATCCTCAGCAGTCGAAAGTTCGTCGTGTCGCAGACTTTTGGCCTGGCTTACGAGTTGTTGCTCCATCTCGTCAGCTTGCTCGTCCTCGCTGTCGACGGCATTCGCATGATTACCGAAATCTCTTCGAAGCTCCTGCTCTGCGTTCGGATTGGCAAATACGATTGCGCGGCGGGGAATATGCTTTTCATGCGCGATATGAAAGTGAGAGTTGAAGTATCCACCTCGACATTGACACATCTTCAACGGATTATATTATCGATCCTGTTGAATCACATCAGCGGCTTGTTCAATAAAAGCGGGAAAGGCAGCATTTATACTTAGTAGGTGGCAGTTGTTCTAACGAAAACCTGTCGAGGATACACATCTCACTTTGATAAAACACAGATGCTGAGTTTCCCGGAATCGGACGGATTGTTGCTTGCTGGAAAGAAAAGAACGCGTGTGTGCCTTGGGCTGTTGCTGAGGAAATCGAAGCGAGTGTGCGCAGATCACCCTCCAGTTCGAATGCAGTGATGCGGTCTTGTGCCTTGCGCACAAGACATCGCTGAAGTAAGTGCATCAAATGCTCAAACTTGTCCGCTGCGAGCCGATTTTCCGCGGGAGACAACTGCAGAAGCTCCTGTTGCGCAGCGTACGCGGAGTACCTGTCCGGATACTGAATTTCCATGCAGTTATCCACGATGCAGAACATCACCCGGTTTCTTCCGCCTCTCTGGTTGCACAGGTAGGCGTGCGGCGGCCTTCCGTAAATCATAGCATACAAGATGATACCCAACGACCAGACGTCCGTCCCCGACTTCATCTTCATGCTGCTCTCGTACTGCTCACCTTGATGGAACGCTTCTGGCGCCATGTACAACACCGTGCCGCAATGCCCATCACGACTCACATGAGTTTTGTCGTGCTCGAGCACTCTTGCGAGGCCAAAGTCTGAGAGCTTGATTTTTGTTCGCTGATTGAACAAGAGAAAGTTTGCTGGCTTCAGATCGAAGTGCAAAATGTTTTTCGAATGAATGAACCGCACCGCGGCGACCATCTGCGTAAAGCAGTGCAGGATCATCGGTAGTGGCATGAAGTTTGCATTCTGGCGGGAGAAGACATCCCGCTGGTAAAGTTGGAAGTCACAGTCCGCATATTCCAACAGGATGAAGATTCGCAGCGACGGAGCGTCGCACTTGGAGCCATAGCAGCGCACCACATGCTCGCGACCTTCGTCTCTGTTAATCCGGGTAAGGTTTTCAAGGAGTACAACCTCCTGCTGAAAGCTCGCTAGCTGCCGTCGGTCCTGCGCCTTGACGACTTTCAACGCGAAGTTGAATCCTTTCCGGTGCGCCTGGTAGACTTCCGCCGTCCCACCGCGTCCCAATAAGTGTTGAATTTCGAAAGAGCCATCGCCCACAGAAAAGGACTTCTTCACCTCGTCTTCCCACTGATGCAAGCGCGCCTCGTTCCCGTCCGGCGGCAGATGCAGACCGCACCGAGGGGGAGGCATTGGACCTGCCTCAGTCGCGCCATTCTCAATGGAAGAAGCAGCTGGGCGTAGTCGGTCTGTTGTGCCAAGTCGCGGCGAAGACGGAGAACAGCACTTGCGCTCCTTTGTTCCAAGAGTTGATGAGGCAGGAGGGCGCGCTCGGTCCGTTGTACCAAGAGTTGATGACGCACCGGGCCGGGGTGCTCCTGCCGGTGATATTTGAAGAGTTTCTGATACAGGCGGACGTGCTCGGTCCGTCGTGCCAAGAGTAGATGACGCAGGAGGGCGTGCTCGGTCCGTCGTGCCAAGGCTAGGGGGCTTGCTGAAGCCTGAATCTCCTTTGGAAAATTGTGTGTACGTCATGCTGCGAAAGCATTCACAAAAGACCTAAATAAAGAATGAGTAGATAAGCGGAAAAATAAAGTGAAACTTGTTCTTGCATTTCATACTTGTGACGAGATGAAACAAATCAGAATTATCCACGTAGAAAAAAAAGTCGAAACATCTCCAATTATACATGTACTTTTAGTCGGTATTGTTGTGCTATATCGAGCAAAAAAATGAAAACCAAAAAAAAAAAACTTGCATAGTCTACTCTAACCTTAGTCTTAATGTTTATGAGGTGCGTGTTACCGCATGGCTAAGCGCACTATTTCCAAAGTGCGAATGTGTTTATGGACTATCATATTTACGATCGCTCACAAATATCCCCGCTGGTGAATTCAAGTCGACACTTGTTTGAAACTTGCAAATGCAAAGCAAAGGTGAAAGCTGAAACAAACTGGAAAATAATGCAAGATCCCTCCGTTCGGAAAGAAAGAATTTCGGGCGAAGATCAGTGTATGGGTTGCAAGATCATTCATGATCTACGTCTAGTTTCACATCATGTTATCTGCGGAGATCGAAGATCAAGAGCCAGAAAAAGTGTTATTACAACATCCATGAGCACCTGTCAGATTTATCACTGACGCTGGGTTCCAAGAAGGGATCTCGTGCAACTAGCTTGCTCAGCACGACCTTGTACAGGTCCATCTACCGTTACCCAAAGGAGACGAATATGCTTTGAAGATTAAGGTGGTGCCCGTAGCAACTGCTTCTCACGTTTCGCATCTGCGCCTGAAAGAACAGACACAAACAATGCCACGGAATCTGTGCATAGAAGTGACTTGATAGTGCCACAATTGATAGTGCCACACTCGCGTCATCAATAGCGTTCTTCTTCTTGCCTCAACAGGGAAAAACATTACTCCCTAGTGAAAATGTCCATATCATTTACATGATCCTTGTAAAATTGTGGCACAACAGCGTGCAGAAACATAATCCTAGAAAATAGCTATCCAAGTATTCATTATATTTACATCGCTCGTTTTTTTTACGCATGTCAGCGTTGACTTGTGATTCAAATTCACTTCGAGCGGAAATATCGACTCTACACATAAAAAACTGGAGTAGAAGTATGGCAGTCCATTTTCGTATAACGCTTCACAAACTTCGCGTCTCTGCGACGTGTGTCTCTGACAAAACACCTTGTCAGAAGACAAAATCTTTTTCGACCGAGTGGCAAGTTCTGGTCTGAAGGGCCTTCAAAACTTTTCTCTAGAAAAATGGTTATCCCTAAAGTTCGCTTGAAAGGCCAACAAGCGAAACAAGGTACCCTCATCGGGGTTAGATTAATGTAAAAATCCTGCTCTTGTTGTTTATGGAAAAGCAGTTTGAGTGCCTGGTAAGAGTCCTTAGATTTTGAAAAACATAGCTCACGAAAAAATGAAAAAATTCAACATCAAACGATAGATATTGTGGGACTGTCCACTCATATCATAGCGTTGATTGCTACAGTGCAGGTGAATGCATCTGCAGAAAATGTTCGTTAGATTTTGATCTTACAAGAAGCACAGAATTCGCATTCGTTATGTTTTTATGTGTGCCTGAAGCTTTCTACATACGTCGAGTGTTTGTCCTGGGGCTACAGTTCCCAGTGGCACAAGATCCTCCATTGGAGGTGCCTACCGGAGGCGTCTTGTGCGTTACCTTGTTCCGGGCATCGGCCTCTGCAGAGCCGGCAGCTCCGTCACCACGATCCTCATTGTCGTCTTCGCCACCCAAGAACTGTTCTGTATCTGCGACTTTGACAGTTTCGGTGTTGAAGCTGCGGTCGAAGAATTCATCATAAGATTCAAAGGAATCCAAAATCTGCGCCAGCACAATTTCTTCTGTTGTTTGCTTCAGGATTGCACTGTTGTCGACGCTCTCACCACCCTGGTTCGCTAAATACTTTTTGGCCTTGTGGTTTCGACGCACCTTATCCCTTTCTCCCTGCATTGCCGTGGCACGATCCAGAAGAGAGGCATCCAGGCGCTCACGCTCGGCCCTCACGGCGCGATTGAACGATGGCAACTTGCACACGTCGTGCGGGCGATAGCGGTATCTGTAAATAGTCTTATCGTTCACCGCAACAACAGGATAATCCGTTGGCTTCAACCCTTTTCCGATGTCGTGGATCTCCTGGTCGAGATTCTCCCGCTCGTATCTGAATTGCTCGCATTTGTCCCGGAATGACATCTCGAAGTACATCTCACGCAAGAGCTTGGCCAACTTCACAGCCGAGGAGCATTGTCCCCACTTGACGTAGAAGTATGCGAAGGCCTTTACTGATTCCTTCGTCCATAGCTTTCCCAGGCGGCGCTCCTCGTCATTCAAGTTGGCAGACGGGTACTCGAGTAGAAGAGAATACTCGGTGTATTGCCGCATAAAGCCTACCAGTTTCGATACAACGTCACTGCTGGCGAAGGCCGAAACTGCTGTTTCAGGGCACACTAGGATGCGCTGTACCGAGTCGAGCTGTTTCGGCCTTTTAAACTTGCTTGGAGCCGCTTGTTGGAGGGATTTCTGTTATATTTTTTTGACAAGTGATATGGTCATGCTAGTGGAAAGAGACTTAGTGCTTGGATGAAGGGGCTGGCGAGGATTCGAGTATTTTTTGTGCGCAAGCAGGATAAAAAAAGGTCGTCTCGACATACCACTTCTTGAAGTTTTGCCTCGCGCTCGTCCGCCTTGGCCTGCTGTAGCTCCTTGAGGTACGTTGCGCCCGGTTGCGTTGTCAAAGCGAAAAAAGTCCTCCCTGGACCAGCTTCCAAGCATATTTCAATTTCAATTTTATCAAAAATTCCTTTGTTTGGATGGAGCCAAGTCGCTAAATTTCCTCACTTCGATCCACCATTGCGAAAATGTGATGGCGCTGGAACGGTCGACATTTTACTAAAAAAAGAAAATAAATATCCTTCAAACATCTTCAATGATCCGCATGACAGAGAACTGGTCGTGGAAGTACATATCATTTTCGTACCCACCATGTAGGGCAAGGGCTTCCAGATCCAGTTGCCCTCAGTCATCGCTGTCGGACGGTACACGTTGTCAGAAGATATCCACATTGCGGAAGCGCCGTTTGACGAAGCCGCGCAGGTGATGGAGTGCTTCGAAACCGAAAACGTAGCTTCCACGATCCTACCACGTTCCTGATTCGTCTGCAGCTTCGACCGCTCCTTCTTCTTCTCCGCCATTTGCTTTTTGTCTTGACGCGCCTTCTTCTCCAGCTTTCGCAGTTCGACCATTTGCTTTTTACTCAGCGCACGCCGGTTTGTTTGCACCAGGCCGCGACCAGAGGGGTCCGCTTTCGCCTCGATTGCCTTCTGCAAGAAAATGCGTTGCGCTCTGTTAGCGCTTGTCAAATCGAATTTCTTGTTGTCACTATTGACGAACTTTAAGTCTGCTTCGTACTTATGCTTCACGGAGGTGCACGTCTGAACTGGAACTTCTAACGCAAAGACGTGGTGGTTGCGGAAAATGCGGGTCAGCTCTCGTTTCAAAACGATGCCGGTGACCTTCCTCACGTAGGCGGTAGTCAGATTGCTCGACAGGTCTCCGCCCTGCTTTCTCATCGACTCGAGCATGGCGGTGGTGGAGTAGAGCTTCATCCGCTCGGAATGAGACTGGTGTCTCGCGAGATGCATTTCGCGATCTAACAATGCCTCAAGATTCTTAGCGACAAGGATCTTGACGTCGCTCAGAATCTGCTCTTTTTTCTTGACGCAATTCACCAGTGGATGAGACTGGCCATTACGAGTGGAGGTCCTGTGTTTTTGAATTTTTGATTGAAACAAGTAGTCGTTTGTTACTTTCACTTTCTACATAGAGGTGATTGATCGCTGCTTTCCATGCGTCACTTGCGTTCTTTTGGCATCAAAACAAACACGGAAAAAGTACAAAATGGTCACAGGTTATTCTGTTTCAACATAATTTTCGCCAAAATATTACCAGCTGAGCCGCGCCAACTGCGGGCAGTCCAGATACTGGGCGAACATGCCCTGCAGCGTCCTCGTCAAGATCTCCTCAATCACACCCGTTGATTGCTCAAACAGTCCCATGTTCAGGTACTGCTTCGGGATGTAGTTCACGTTTTCCGATTTTGCGTCCAGAATTTCGCGCAGCTGTTCCAACGAGCTGAGCGTCTCCTGGATGCCTGCAAGCTGGAACACGTTGTCGTTGTTCAGCGGCTTGAACCACTGATCGAAGGGAACCCACGACTCCACCACATTCAAGAAGGACTCAATTTCCTGCGCCGCCAGCGCCAGCACTTCGCGCTCCGGGGCGTTGTTCGGTGGAATCCAAAGGTAAGTTAGGTGTGACCGCAACAACCACGTCGCCGGCAAAATTACGCCCGCGAGCAGCGTCGTCACCATGTCGATCTTTTTCTTGATCAGGTCCTGCGTGCCGAGCGAGGTGTCAGCGGAATCGTCCTGGTAGTTTTGGTCGCCCTTCCAGAAGAAACCGAGCAACACCGGGAAGGACCTCAGCATCCAGGTCAAGTTGTTGGCCAAGTCCATCAATGCCGACATCGGGTACGCAAATTTCCGCAAGAACTTTCTAGACCGGACTATATCGCGCTCACGCTGCAATTCCCGCTCGGCGTCGTACAAGACCCAGACAGACTTGTTCGCAAAAGCGTCTCCGGCTCGGTCGCAGTTCGCCTTCCACTCATCAGAAAAGATACCGGCTAAGTGGCCAACAAAGTAGGAGCAACCTGACAGGAAACCGAAGCCCCAAGATTCCCAGGCAGCGGCCGAGCGCTTGCGGCGCCTGTCGTGTGTTTGAGGAGAGTTTGAATAGGCGCAACGGTGAACAACTTCTTCGCTAGGGCACATACTAGAGTCCTGCTTTCGCTTCAGATTCGTTGGAAAAGAATCACTTCTGAAGTGTGGGTCGACGGCCGCATTAAGTTAATTCGGTCGTGACATCAAATAAGTACATATACAGTCACAGCTGAGATTGCGCCTCTAGAAAATCAAAAGAATCATACATACCCTCAAAAAAATCATGACGCAGAAACAAGATTACCTTCTTCCTTGTTGATCAAAGTCCAGCTCGTCCTTCTTCACTACGGCAACCTGCCGGTCCAGTTCCGCTTCAGTCAGCATTGCCGATTCCCCAGAACCGAAGATTTTATTGAACTGCGGTCGGAGAACCGTCTCGAGCAGTTTGTTGAGCTGCCACAGACTGTAGAGCTTTTTGCGGATTGTGAGGCCCTGCCTCACTGGGACGCGGAAGGTCGATTTGTGGTGATCTTTATCCTCTTGCGTTACCGCAGATTCCTTCAGTTTCATGCTGACATAGCTCGTCTCCTCGTACTCAAGCTCTTCGCGGGTCACTCTGGCGATTTTAATCTGCTTCCTTCCGTCGTACTTTTCCTGCCCAAAATGCCACTGCGGAATCGCGACAATGAAGCCAGTAACCGCGTTGTGCAGCACGTGGTTCCAGAGCTCCGCGGCAATTTGTCCACCGGCGCCGTTGCCAGTGCCGAGGTCACGATAGTCTTCGTCGAACAAGTCCTGCAACAGAACGGGGTGCCACAAGTTGTACTCGACGGCCTTGGTCTTCAAGAACCGCTCCTTGATGATCTTGGCAAAAATGTTCTCCCACTGGAACACGATTGGCTTCAACCGCACCCATTCTCGATTCTGCACTTTAACTTGCTCTTGAGGACCATTATCCTTCTGCTGTTTGCCTTCGTTTCCTCCTGCTTCCGGGCCACTTCCCGCCTTGGAATATGTGTCTATGAAATCGTCCAGGCCTTTCTGGTGCGATATGTCAACGCTGGCGAGCAGTTTTTGCTTTTCCGTCTCACTGAGGCTTTCCCATTTATTCTGTCCCCAGCTGAAGAGAAGGAAAATCCAACCCAACCGCGCAACTCTTGTGCGCGCAAACTCGGAATTCATCTTGCAGAGCGACTCCAGACTGGATTTCATGAAGACGTGCTCCCGCAGCTTCGGATTCGTTGCGTAGCCCTGGTCCTTTTCCTCCTGAGTAAAAGTGTACCGTCCACCGCCGTAGGACTCCAGGCTAGCGTCTGTGCCGAACGAAGCGCCGTTGCGCTTTTCAATTTCCCAGCTCTTGACGTCATTGTCCCAGTGTGCTCCTCCGCCTCCCTTGCTCGGCGTTCGAAGGTGGTTCTCATGAAAGATGTCCTCTACCAGGCCTTTCTGGACCCACGGCAGAATGATATCACAGGCGAGCGGACCCCACATCTGCAACAAGTGCATCTTGCGCATCACTAAGCCGTGGTTCCACTCCTCCCAGCGAGCGCCAACGTCCTTGCCTGCTTCCTTGTTTTTCGAGAACCCGCGCCCGCCATCTATCACGCCGTTGACATGGTTCAGCCACTGTTGCTTCGTCTGTCCCTCTGGTTTCTTTTTCTCACTGGGCCGGATCTGCAACACCTCCTGGTTCTGGAAAAACGAGAGAATCCGGTCCTGAGGGTCGATGAACGCGGTCTCGGCGGGGCGGATGTCGACAAAACTTTCGGGCAGTGTCGGCCACTCTTGGTCGAAGCTTTTGTCCCAGTAAAGCGGCTCCGTGTGCCTCTGCCCGTTCTTGTCCTCGTAAGTGTGCTTGCGCTGGTGGGCGGCTTCCAGTCTCTTCACGGCGCGTTCGTAGTAGTCCGTCACCGTGATCGCGTCGCGCTGGTCGGCTTTTCCGTTCATGGGGTCGTCTTCCCCTTCTGGGCGGATCATCTTCTGAATCGCCAAAGCTTTGTCCACGACGACAAGCTGGTTCTGTTTGGTTTTGACCTTTTCCGCGGCCTCCGTTACCGTGGCAGAGAGCATTGCTGCCGCGGTGGTGGGAAGTTTCAGGGTGGCTTCAATTTTCTTCTCATTCCCATTTTCATCCTTTTCTGAGAATTTGAACGTCGTGTCCTTCAACTCTCCAACCTTGCCGACCCAGTGTGCAAATGTTTCTGCAGTTGGCGGATTTTTCATCCTCTTGCCCAGACGCGCCGCGCGCAACAGCGCGGGCTGCATGTGGTGCTGGAACCGACGCAGGACGGCGCCGAAGCGCTGCTCGTCGGTGCTTTTGCGAAGCAGTTGCATGGGGCCATAGTCGTCCGGAAAGTGGACGCGGAAGTTGGAATCTACATCTTTTACCATCGACTGCAGCCTCTGCTTTCCGCTCGTGGTGTACACCATGGCGCTGTGCTTCAGCAGAATCTGCAGTGCTTTCTTCTCTTTCGGTCGAACTGTTCCCGCTTCCGTCTGGAACAAAACCTCCCGCACAGCACCCTGGTGGTGGTGGTAGAACGCAGACGCCGAATTTTTGTTACTCTTGTCCGCGTCCTCTTCGACCTCTCTGTCGAGAAGCTGGGCGAGGTCTAGTAGATTCATCTGCCGCAGGGTCAGCGAATTGGAGTAATCGCGGAGCAAGGACATCCACGCAAAGTTGCCCTGGACCTGCATCTCATTCTGCATCTGGATTCCCTGCTCGAGGTTGTGCTTCTCGATTTCGCCGGAAAGCTTCTTCCCCTTCTTCTGGCGACACACCAAGCAGTTCGTCTGGCACTCATACCCGTCATCCGGCCGACCGACCAAATCTCGGAATCCGGTCTCGCCGTCTTCGGGCAGCTGGTTCTTCGCAAGCGGTGTGTTCCGCAAACCCATTTGCTGTTGTTCCTTGATTGGCAGGACGTCAGTGCCGCTGAAGCATGGGCAGCTGTATCCTGAGTAAATACGTCCCCGCCTCAGACGCAAGGCCAGGTGGGGATTTTGCAACACAACCCTAGAAGTTTTGGGACTCCGGCATCACAAGTTGCAGTCAGTAGTGTAGTGCAACGTCACAGGGTTAAACACATCGCAAATCCGTCTGCTTATCCTGGTTACAGCATCACAAATGCCACAGTACGAATAGAAATGCCTCTCATGGAGATGCGCATTGCAAATGTTTCTGTCATTGCAAATCTGCATGACAACTCTGGGGTGGGGACGTTTTTCCAAATGATAAGCTGCACTTTTTGACTTTCTGTTTCTCGTTTCCCGCTCGCGTCGCCTTCTTCACGGACGAATCCAACGCCATGTACATCAGGCCCGGAAAAAAGGGCGAGACCTTCAGTAGGGTTTCCAGTTCAAGTTCTTTGTCCCGAGAAAAGTCGGCCCGCTGCGCAACCTCCGTCAGTTCGGCCACCAGTTCGTGCTGGCTGCGTTCGCCCGGGACGAAAAACTGGCCGGACGCGACGGTCGGAACGTTCACGAATCCGTTGTTTCGCATCATCTCGTCCATCCAAAGGCGCCACTCGTTGATATTCCTGTACTTGCCCGCGAAGAAGAAGTTCAAATAGCGATCCACATTCCGGCTGCCCACAAGTTTCAGTCTCTCCGACTCCGGATCTTGGCCCTCGCCTTCATCGTTTGTCCGCTTCCGGTAGTGCTTCCCAGCACCGCGGCGGACGCCGGAGGCCCCGTAGGAACCCGTTCCATACGTGACAAAGTCGTCAGAAATTTGCAGGTCGCGCACGTCGTCGTTTTGCGCCAGGTAGAGTCCGGAAGCCCTTGTGTTTTTCCCCGTATTACCCGGCAGGTCTTTCACGTCTTCAATCGAGCCATACCTCGGGTCTAGGCTTTGCAAGCCGGTTTTCAGGCGCTGCTTGTCCTCGCGGGAGCCGAGGTAGTCCTCGTAGACGAGACTGCCGCCAACGTTGTGCCGCTTGTCCGTGTAGTAGTCTGGGAACCACTGTCTGTCTTGGTCCGACACCCGCACTTGGTGCTTCCGGTTCGACTCGTCGCCGTCCTCGCTAAAATGCTCGAAGGAGTACTTGGTGTGCCAGCCCGGCGCCTGCATGAAGAGCGTCTTTTCCGATAGTCTGTGCAGGGCGTCTTTCGCCTTCACCGCAACCCGCAAGCGCTTCTCGATCCCGTAGGCAGACTGCGCTAGCTTGTCCTCGGGCGAGAACCTGCCGAACGCCGCGTTGCTGTTAGTGAAGGCCTTGGACAGCATGAATCGCTGCATCAGCTCCCGCTTCACGCGGTTCTCTTCCCGCCGCTGCATTTTTCTGCGGAGAAAGAAGTTCTTGCGCATGCCCACGTCGATCAAGTGGAAGGTCTGCGTCGCGGAAATTTCGCTGCAGATCTGCTTTTATCAAATGCAAATATGTCTGGGTCCCATGGAAGAGTACACGACTTGTCATGCTTTTTGCAGACCACACACTCGGTCTGGAATGAGATTTCGCGAGACAGACCTTAATCATGAGTATCCCGCATTAGTAGAAATCAACCTTTTATTGCCCAGCAAGGAGTGAGCAGCTTTATTTGGCGTTCCTGCAACTACTTACCCAAATCTTTTTGTAATCGGGATTTTTTCGCATGACAGGTTAAAACTCCAGACCCAGACTACATATTTGCAATGCATAGCTTCTGGTGTTTTTCCATTCGAAGGAGCTCGCGCACGCGCTGCAGGGTGATAGGGTCGAAGTCCGTCAGTTCGCGCTTGTCGATCGCGCCTTCGTCTTGGTGCTCCAGAATCAACAGGTTGTACGCGCTCTCCTCCTGGTTGCTGCGCCATTTGCCCTGGTTATGTTCCTTCAAGTTGCGCGAAATCGGTTTGCACAGCTTGTCGTAGATGTGACCAAAGAAATCGTTCAGCTCGTGTCGGCTGCGCGCCCAGAATCCGGTGTCGGCAGTCTGCCAAACAGAGAGGAGTGCGTGGAAGGCATCCGCATACTCAATGTGGTACATGACATCGCGCATGCCAACCCGGGGGTTTTATGGTCTTCGAAAATTTGAAGTGCATCCTTGTTTCAGTTTCTACCCGTGATTTAGTACGTGCTGACTTCATCGCAGCTTTCGTAGCAGTTTCCGTGCAAGAGCTGTGCCACCATATGTTCTCTTTCCGAAGTATATCTTTTGTTTCTTTGCAACCAATAGGACATCCGGATACACAAAAATGGCAATAGCTCGCCAAGCCAATTCGTCTCACGGGTAGAGACAGACACACAGAAACTCAATTACAACAAATTTTTTGTGATACCCGATTCTGAACGGCTCCGATCGAGCGCGGCGGAGTGACAACGTACGTCATATGGCTGTTGTCGGGACGAATTATAAATCTTGCTACTCTGTCGGCGGGTGGCTCGGTAACGTACATGAAGGCGTCGGCCGCGAGGCGGAACATGGAGACCAGGTTGCTCTCGCTGTGCTGCTCGTAGGCCGACCGGGCTGCGTGGACGGAGCCAAACGGAATTGCCGGAGGCAGGAGCTGCATTCGCTCGCCCGCTCGCAGAAATGCCTCCGGGGGAGACAGCGCGTGTTCCAAATTGCGCAAGAAGTCGCTTTGCAAGTGCGGCGACACGTCGGTCACGGCTTGGATTTGCGCCGCAGCCGCGTCCTCGTTCTGTCCTCGTCCCGCCTTGCTGACGAACTGTTCGCGAATCCAGCGGAAAATCGGCGCCAACACGGTTTGCTGCAGCATCTCCTCCGTTTCGGTTTGCATCGCGATGATCTTGGCCAGAATGCGTTTGCCCCGCAACAGGAAATCGGTCGCGGGGTACATGCGTTTCAGCGTTCGATACTGTGGGTGCGACGCGATCGGGTAGGTCACGTCCCGGCAATCCTTCGTGCGCAGACCGGCGTTGAACCCGCTGTTGTGCATCTGGGTCACGGTTTTCTTTTTCTTCTTCAGTTCCGCCTCGATTTCCTGGGGCGTCATGTTCGGGTCCAGATTCGCCGCTCTCCCGGCACGCCGCTTTTCTTCGTCGCTCGCGCCGGCCCCCGTGGCAGACTCCGTTCCCTGCGGCAGGAAACCATCCACAGCCATGTCGTCGCCGTCGAGGCCGAAGTTGAAAAATTTCGGATCATCCGCCAGCCGCTTTCGCGGAATCCGGCGCAGCCGCCAGGCCTCGTGCGCCTTGGCCTTCCACCGCTGCTCGTCTTGCCACTCCTGGTCTAGCCAACTCTTGTACCGCGCCGCGGTCAAAAGCCGCTCCGTGTCGAAGCTGTCGTCGTGCAACGCCACCGCGTATCAATGGCAAATATCTCCTCTGGGTCTGGAAGATGAAATTTGTAACGCTAAGACTGAAAGTAGTACGAGTAGTGCAGGCGATCATGCACAGATTCCAATAGGCAGGGAGGCCGCATGCCAACAAGTTTCTGACCACCTGCCATGTCTTCAGTGCTGTGGTCACATCCGATTAATAAGCCCACATGACTAGTACAAATGGCGCGCCGTTTCTGTGCTGACAAACAAATGGACACTGCTTCGCCATATCAGGCATAGACAGGCTTTGCTACAACTTTTATTCATATTGATTCTCCCCTGCTAGCAGCCAAGCAAGACAAACGCACACCTACACATCCGGTCAGACCCAGATCGACATTCGCGGTGCCTACGGCGACAAACTCAATCGCCGTCTGCAGGGCCTGATACTCCTCCGCGGAAATTTCGTGCGCGGCCTCGACTTCCTTCTGCGCGGCCTCCACCAACTCGTTGCTCTGCTTCAGGCGGTCCTCGAGTTCCTTGCGCTTCGGGTCTTTCTCCGTGGTCTCGGATTTCAACACCTCCAACTGCTGCTTCAAGGCGTTGCGCTCCACCTGCTTGGCCGACATGCGCAACTCGGCGTCAAACTTCTTGTCGCGGATCATGCGTGACTGCGGAAAAAACTTCTCAGCGTTTAGCACCGTGGCGTGCTTTAGGCACTCGCCGACGGAGACGTGGTCCTCCTGGCTCTGCTTAATCATCGCCTTGTAGTTCTGAATCGGCGACTCGTACTGCTTCCGCTGGTACTCGTGATCGTGGACCAGGTCGCTCTCGATCTTCCGGGGGTTCCTCGTGTTGTGCTGAAAGTTAACGTGGAAGTACCCAAACACCCCGCGGTCCTCGTGCGTGTCGCGGGGCAACGTGTGGATGCGCAGGTCTTCAACTGGTGCACCCGCAGAATCTTCGCCGGCCTTCGAGGCGTTCGCGGCGGCCTCGGCCGCAGCTTTCTCTGTCGCGCCGTCGCCCTTTTTTCCAGCAGCTGCCTCAACAGCCTGCTGGAGTCCACCAAATCCGCCACCTGCGAAAAAAATGCCGGCACCCAGACCTGCGGCTTTTCGGGCTCCGGTCTCAGCTTGCTGGTAGCCTTGCACGAACCAGTCCTCGTTCATTTCCGCAAATTCCTCCCCCTCCGATGCTGGAACAATCCCGAGCCCAGCGAGGGCGTTCTCAACACCCGGAACACCAAATGTGCTTCCCAGGAAGCCAGCGAGCTTCCCCATCCCTTTGCCGAGAAGGCCCGGAAGCAACGCCTTCTTCTCGAACCGCAGCCGGTCGTAGCCGGCCCCGATGCGGTAGCGGATCCAAATGCCCTTCTTTGTCATGTACGGATTCCGCGTGGATGCGGGGTGCTGGTCGGCTTCGTCCAACTCCTCGCCAATCTTGTCCCCCCGCTCCTGGAGCAGCTGGTCGACCAACTTTTTCGTTTGCGCCCGCGGAAGCATCACTTTCCGCAACTTCCCCTCAGTCACGATGGACGGATCGTTCCGGGTGGCCACGCGGCTGAAGCTATACCCGTCAGCACCGCCACGCCGGCTGTTCCCGGTGTACACCTGGTCCGTGGGCCAGGAGCCGCCCGTCGCGGGAAACCGGGCGAACAGACCGTTTTCCATGCCGTCCATCTCCTTCAACGTGGACACATCGACAACGGACGCGAGAGTTTCATGTGCGGCCATTGCCTCGATGGACTTGCGCCGCCGGCGCTTATCCTCGTTGACGCGCACTTGTTGTTGCTGCTCGCTCTCCCGCAGCATCCGTTCCTCCTCCTGTTGGGCCTGCTTTCGGGCGTACCAGGCACGGGCCTTGTCCATGAGATCTTCTTTTATGCATATGAAATTCATGTTCTCGGTGACACCTTCGGGAAAAATGAAAGACGACCACACTTGTTTCGAACTACAAGGATGGACCACATGAGTCGTATATCATTACCGAGCTGCAGGTCGGTCGTATATTAAGTGGTGATGCTGTACTAGTGCAGCATTCCCTTTCCACCAGGCCGCAACACAATAAATCTCATTCACATTTGATAATGCGCTTTTTTTCATCTTTTTCGTCTGCAAGTTTTTGAGCAAGGGCTGCATTGAGCTGAAACGTGTCTAGCTCCGCAACGTCCCGCAAGTCCTCGTCCATGAGGCCAATCTCGTTCTCCGACTCGTCGGTCATGCCCTGCACCTGGCTCGGCACCACGGTCCGCAAGAACGCGGACACCGGGACCGTTCTGTGCTGGTGGAATTGCCACGCGAGATTCGCGTCGTTCCACTGCAGGCGGCCGGTCGCCTCATTGAGCCGCAGCTGGTTCGCGGAAAAGTATTCCGGGTACTCGCCCATCTCGTGCGCCATTTCGAACCACACCTTCGCCTTTTCTAAGCCGGTGATCAGCGCGTCAGCCGCTTCGAGCACCTTGTTTTTGAACTTGTAAATCTGCTCGCTGTGCTGGTAGCTCGCCGTGGCCAGGGCAGACTTCACGATTTTGTTCGCCTGCATCAGCATTCGCAAGGTTCGCGACGTGCCTTGTAGCACGGCGTCAGACAGGTCGAGCGCGATGTCGCCCTCCGACTCCACGATGGAGTTGTGATCCCCGTCCCCCTCATAGGCGTCATCCGTGTCGTCTAGCTTGTGCGGTTTTGCAGGTTTTTTGCTACTCGGATTTGCCGACCCCGCTTCTTCCAAATCACTTGGGTCATCATCGTCCTCGGATTCCATGTATCCATTGCAAATATGTCTGGGTGGTCCTCAGGAAGAATGCACTTGTTTGTTATGCATGTTTCGGATCAGGCAAATGGTTTCTGATGGAGGCAAAAGCATCACAGGTTTTGAGCACGCCTGCTCTTGATGCCTGTCCCGCATGAGAACCTTCCTACTTGCGTACCAAAAAATGGCCAGCGTTTGACGCTCATGCAACACAAATTTTTGTGTGTTCCAGAGTTTGCATCACAAGTTCCCAATTCTTCCAGACCCAGACATATTTGCAATGCATACCATGCTTGGCAACCCCAGTTTCTTCCGGCGCAGGGGGTTCAACGGCTCCGCCTTCATTGCCGTATCCGGCCCGCTATGCCTTGCAAAAGTATCGTACTCGTAGTAATTGCAACTATGCATTACAAATCTCCATCCAAAGGTAAAACAGCATGACAAATTCCATTTGTCATGCTGAGCGAACTTGTAATGCAATTACTACTAATACGAATACGATGCTTTTTCACAGGATACCCACCCTGCCGCTGCGTGAAGTAGGCGACCGCCGCTTGATCCAAGAATTGGAGCGCTTTTTCCCCCCGTTGCACAACAGCTTTCTCGAAGTCGGACTTCGACGAGTGCTCCTCAATCTGCTCGAATAAGTTCGCTGTTTGTTGCAATAGCTGCTGCGTGTCTTGCACACTCGCGCGTGCGGTGTCGTAGTAGCCACGGCGAATCTGCAGAATTTCCGAGTTCGTTGTCCCACTGCCGGACGGAAACTCGGCGACATCGGGAAGACGTTCGATACTGCCGTGCTGTCCCAGCCTCTCGTTCCGCCTGCGGATTTGCCAATTGCGGTTCTGGTACGGCTGGCGATCAGCACCGCTCCCGTCTAACAACGCCTCGATCGCAATGCTGCCCTCGTCGACAATTTCAATCTCGTCATCCACAGTGAACCAGTTTTGGCTCGGGACTGCGAGAAACGGATGGAACCGCTTGTGCTGCTGCGAGAACTGTCTCATTTGCTCGCGACCTGCACTGCCGGCAACGAGACCGGCAACTTCCTGGGCTTCGAAGCTCGTGTACGCGTTTATGAACGTGGTAGCCGAGGAACCGGGGGCCTTCAGCCAACCGCGAATGCGCTGTTTCTCCTGCTGAAGTAGCAGCAATTCGTCGTCCGGGTGGGTAAATTTCCCGCGGAACGCGACGCGGGTGTCAAACAGGGGCTTGCCATCCACGAGAATCTGCGCAAACGTCCCTTTGCGCAACACCTTGTCCCCGCCGAGCGTGGCAGCATTGGCGCCCATCGCTTCCTCACTCAAATGTTCGAGCTGCGCCTCGGTGATAAGGTCGCGCGTTCGCTCGTCCTGCCCAATCCGGGAGTTCAAGTGCCGCACTGCAGCCGGATTCCCGTCCAGCACCGCTTTCGTGGCTTCCACTTCCACGATTGCAGGGTTGTTCTTCATTCGCTGCTCTAACAGCCACTGTGCCCGTGCCCGGACCCGGACCTCGTACAGCTGCCACAGTTTGTGGATCCGCGCTTGCACCCAATTCAACTGTTGGGTGATGCCAATCGCGAGTCTTCGCGTCCCGCGGGCGGTGCGGCGTGCCAAAATGGCCGCAATGGGATTCACCGCCCCGTGCGCGTCCGCGAGTTGCGCGGTGGCCGCTTCGATGGTCGGGAACTCGACGGAGTCACCAGCCAATTCCGCGTTTTCTTCCGTTGCCGCGTGCGCGTAATACTCGTTGCTTTTCTTGAAATACGCTCGCACCACCATCAAGGTCAGCGGGCAGTCCGCTTCGTTCCCAGACGCGGCGTTCGGGCCCAGGATGTAGGCTTTGAAGAGCTTAAACAGCTTTTCTCGGTAGGCGATTTCCAATTTGTCCACATCCACGAGGAACAAATGCGACATCGACTGCCCCAAATTTGACATCAAAAACGCAGCGATCGGCAGGAACTTCGCCCGATTCAAATGCTGGTTGAACGCGAGGAACCGCTTTGCGATATGCATTGCAAATACGTCTAAGTGGTCTACTGGAACAAAGGCGCAGACTTGTGATGCGCATTTCAGAACACGTAAGGTAGATCTGTCATGCATGGACAGCAGAACCAAAAGTACTTAGCCGTTGCCCACTTCCTGATTGTCGCCGAGTGAGGCAATGAATTAATTTGCCGTGAGGAGTAGGCATTGTAACCCCTTGTCAAGAACAACCTAAACCTGTGAACATGCTAGGCCGATTACTATGCCAGACCTTCTGCGTGATGCAAAAACAGCATGGCAACAATGATCTGCATTCTACTTGCTTCCAGACCGAGATCGATATTTGCATTGCATACTCGATCTGTTCGGACAGTGTGGGCGGGATAAAGAAGTTCGCTTGATTCCTCGGGTTTTCTTTCACTTGGACCGCCGTTTGCAGCTGGGTGGCGTCAACCAGAGCGACCAAGTCACCATTTCCCTCGTGCGATTTGTCATCCGGGAGGCGCGCCTGGGCGTGTTTCACCACCTGATCCAGACTGACCGCGGTGTCAAGGACCTCTTTCTCTAGCGTATCCAAAGCCTGCATCATTTGCTTTTGGCTGTTGCCATCCGGCTTCACGACTGGGCTGGCGTTTTCGAAGACGCCCAGGTTCGGGATCGCTGGCACCTCGTCGGTATGCATTGCAAAAAATATGTCTGGGAGGTCTGGAAACTTCTAATGCTGAGTTGTGAATATAGTGAATGGTCTGTAATGCACAGCCAAGCATGAGAAATATTTGCGGGGCCTGGTGTTGCGTTTTCCGCATGACAAACTGCGTTTTTGCATGACAAGCAAAAGGGTCTGCTCTTCTTCGACACGCATCACAGACTTTTCAGTCATGCCAGACAAGCATGACAAACCATGCAGCCTTCCAGGCCCAGACATATTTGCATTTGATAGTCGAACACGTCTTTCAACACATTCGTCAGCATGTAGTCCAGCAGCGCCTTGGCGAAGATCTGGCGGTGCACGGTTTGGTGCAGAGAGAGGCGCTCCGCGATGATCGCATTCAGATATCCGAAGCAAAAACGTCCCCACCCCATAGTCAAGTTCGGAATCTAGCAACACAAGTCGCCAAGTTTTGGGAGCTGTGCATGACAAGTTTTCCTCTACAGTGTAGTGCTGGTTGGCAAGGGAAGCCACATGAGAGAGCCATTTTCTCATCCTGTTTGCAGCATTACAAATGCCAAAACACAAATGGAAACGCCTCTCATGGAGCTGCGCATTACAAATCGGTTCCTGTCCTCGTTGCGCATTTGCATGACAACTCTCACCCAGGTGGGAACGTCTTTACTCAGGATATCAGATTCAGGATGTTCAGCATCTCAGCGGGTAGGAGATCAGAAATGTTCTCGTCGAAGCCGCGCAGAAAATGTTCCGTCTTTTCCGAAATGTCCATTACGCACTGCTTCGTCATGCCAGACATCTCACCCTGCGCGGAGACAAATTCGCGTTCGAGATTTTTTCGCAACTCATTGTCCTCGTTGTCCCTCTGTTGCTCGGCCGCATGTTTCTGTTCCGCCTCCTTCTGCGCTTTATTCGCTTCCAGCAGGTCTGTTTTCACACCTCCACCACCTGCTGTCGCGATGGACGACATGGACGACAGCGTCGGGGGCTTTCCCTTCATCATATTCGACACAACACTCATCTTCGTCATGGCTGTGCCCAGACCGGCCTTCGCGGCGTCAAACCCGATTTTCGCTTTTTCTGCATACGCTTTTCTCGCGGTCGCGACAAAGGCATTCGCTGCACCCTGTGTGCCAGTAGAGGGATCTGAATTAACATCTCCTGCTGGAGGCGGGGCGCCACCACCACCGGTCATTTCGGTCATGACAGCCATCATGCCTGTCGCGACGTTGGTCTGCTGGTTGATCATGTGCTCTAGCCCCCCATCGATCTCCGTCCACGCGTGCTCATCGTTGTTCTCCGCCAAATCGTTGCCGTGCACACGCATCATCACCTTCTGGTAGTTCCCCTCATCCTTCTCATACGTCCGCAAAAACATTTCGCACTCGAGGTACTTGCTCCTGACCCCCATTTTCCACTTCTGCAACAGAATGTCCACCTCCGCGGCCACGGAATGGTGGGCTTGCTGCTGGAAGTTGACCGTCCAGCGGCTTTGGTCCGCGTACAGGTGCTCAAACAGCGCGGATTGCCGCTGGAACCGCGCGAAGGGGTTTATTGCAATTTCAGGGTTGTATTGGTCGTTACCTTGGTCTCCAGCAGCAGCATTCGCAGCCGCTTTTCCCCAGGCGTAATCCGGATCGAGCGACGGCGCTCCTTTCGGTAAAGACATCAACACGTTCATCGTTCTCACTGCGGTCAAAGAAAACCGCCAGGTTTCCGCCAAAAGGGATTTCAACTCGTAGTTCCACAACCGCTTGCTCCCCGTCACGACCACCTGCGCCAGCCAGATCTGCACCTTCTCTTTCGTGACTTCCATCACCGATTTCGCAGACCCGTTGATGCGCTTCTCGATCTTCCTCTGCTCCTTTTTGTCCAACGCCATGGGGTCGCTGTTCTCGTCAGCGTAAGTGATCAACTTCGTGATCAAATGGGCGAGAAATTTGGGGTGCGCGTCCCGCGCGATGAACTCATCCGCAGTGGTGAGCTGTTCCAAAACGACCACGGCCGGGGTGTGGAGCATAGCTTTGAAATTCGTCCAGTCGTCAGCGCTTGGGCCTTTCCGCGCCCCGTCCAAGTACTCGACAAAGTCAATGATCCGCTTCCGCTCCATCAAAACCGGGTGCCGCTGCTCCCCGGACGCGAGTTTCCGCAGCGATCTGTCGTTCCGCTTCACTAAAACGTCCGCGGCCAGGAACTTCGCGTCGCTCATCCGAAACCATTCGTCCTCATTTTGCCGGTCTTGGGCATTGGGATCGTTTCTGATCAGGTCCGGATGGGGGAACACTCGTTCGCAGATCTTTGTGCGGAGCTCGTCGTTCTCGTGGCGGGTGTGCAGCGTGACGAACTGGGCAGTGAAGCGGTTCAACGCGGTTTCGACCCGGTCCCGCATTGTCTGCTCGATCGCCTCCGGGATGATCTTTTCCAGCAAATCTTTCTTAAACAATTTCGTCCGCGCCTCTGCGATCCTCTGGCTTTTCGCGTTCATCTTGCCCATCATGGTCATCGCGTTGTTCATTTGGTTCGGTGCCGCGTTCGTCGGACCGGTGTTACCCGCAGTAGTTGTACTGCGTCCTCCGCCGGTTATGCTACTAGCTGCCCGGCTGGCCATGCCAGTAAGACCCGAAAGCACACCCCCGCCTCCGCCCCCTTGCTCTTGCTGCTGACCGGCCTCGGCTCTGGCCCTGGCTTGGTCGGCGTCCATTTCGGCCTGGAATTCCCGCGCGATCTCCGCAGATTCGTGCTGGAAAGCGGCATCGAGGAACTTGAAGGTGCGGTGCTTTGTCATCAGGTACTCTTCTAAGGTCGAAACCAACTTGTCTAGATACATGTCGAGCTCCATCTTTGGCTTCTTCACCAGCTGATCGAGCAGGGCCTCGTTCTTGCCGCGCACAGTATCTTCAGCCGTTTTTTCGCTCAAAACCGTTTTCACCACTTCCTCCAGTGCGGCAGCCCAGAATCGAGGTTGGATCTCGGGCATCGCGGTCGTCGCAACCGGGATGTTTTTTATCCGTTCGTAGCCAACCAGTCGGAGGTTTCTCTCAACATGGAATCCGGAGTGAAACCACTTCAAAAAATTCATGGTCAGTTTTTCTTCGTCCTTTTGCACATCCGTCAAAGCACACTTCTCCTGGATCTGGGAAATCGCTTCCAGGATTTTCTCTGCCCACAAATTCATGAACCATTTTTCTGAACTTGGCAGCAATCCGAAGTCTTCCACCCTCGCGACAGCACCGACTGGCATTTTGGACGGGTCGAAATCGCCGTTTTCATCGCGATACCGGAGGTTTTGCGGTTCCTGCTCCATACCGATTGCAGCGGTGGGTTGACTAGGTGCAGGTTGTTGACTCGCGGCAGCTTGCGGCTCCCAGTCGCTGTGGACGTCGTGGAATCCTTCCTTCTCCACTTCCATGGCAAGAGTGCCCAGCGCTGACGGCGCAAGCTGAGAACCGGAAGTAGTAGAGCCATGAAGATTCTGCGCATATTCATTCGCCGGCGGCAACAACGGCACCGGGTTCAGTTCCGCGTAGCGCTGGCCGTCTTCGCGGCACTTGACCACGATATGCACTGCAAATGTTCTTTCTGGGTCCTCTGGAACATATTCATTGGGAGTTTCTCCTTAGGCAGTAGATTCTACATGACTACGACCATCTGCGATGTTAGTGACGCATGCTCCAGCATCACAGGTCATAACATAGCGAAGCCGTGCTCATGTTGCCGATACTGCATCTTCAGAACTGCCCTCTACTCCGGAGGTTGGCACAGGAGTCTGAGTTCGATATTTTGCTGCTCATGCAATACAGGTTTTTGAAAAATGTTGATCGAAGGTTAGCAGGGTTAGCTTCAGAAATTCCATTCTTTCCAGACCCAGACCACATATTTGCAAAATGCATACACAAAGTACTTGTAGGAATTTGTCGCTTTTGTCAGAATCGTGTCTACCGAAGCCTGCAGGGAAATGATATCGACATCTGCGTCCAAACCGTAGCTGTGGTCATTCTTATCCGCCACGCGGGTGCCGGATTCTTTGTTCTCAAAAATTCCGCGGAGCGCGCTCGTCGTGCCCGCGACCGTGTGTTCCATCTGCTTGCGGCAGCTGGTATCCCACAGAAAAAAGCAGACAGGGCATGTTTGCAATGCAAAAGCAAATAGACAGAAAAATCCCTCATGGGCCACCCCATAGCATGCTAATTAGGATATGCAACACATATTTTTTTGTATTTTTGCATTACAAATGTGACCTGATTGCTTTTTTCTGTGTGATAGCTGGTCCGCAGCGTCTCACTATCCTCCTTCCGGATCACTTCTAACAATCTAAACACCTCGTCTTGGTTGAACGACCGCCAGCTGCCCTGCATGTCGTGCAAGTCCGGCATCAAGTTTGTGTCCAACCGGGTGCCCGTCACGGATTTTACATCGTAGTTGCAAGGGACCAAAAGCATTTTTTTCAAAATACCCGCCGCCTTGTAGAATTTCTGCACCAAGCCGGTCGTCATAGTCAAGTGCCTGCTGGCTTCCGCCGACTCCTCGGAGTTCGCCGCGTTTCCGTTCTGCCCCCCGGATTTCAGCGTCAACTCCGTCCCGATGCAGTCGACGTACTTGTTGACTTCCATGTGGAAGCGGAGGTTGTTCAAAATCTTCGAATTGTCGAACAACGCCGCCTTCAACTTGCCCGAGTTCGTCTTCGGCTGCTTGCGGTCCGGCCGCCTCGGGTCGGCCGCCTTTTTGTACTCGTCACTCTGCTTGGTGAGCTTCAGCTCGAACCTCTTTAACTCTTCGATCAGTTTGTTCTGGCGGGTGGTGATCACGTCCAGCAAGAGTCGGTGCGGCGAGAACAGGTTCCACTGCTTCGCGGACTCCTCCTTGTTGGGAAGAAAAGACAGGAAGTTCATGTTCGTCCAATCGAGCACGTAGGCCACTTCCTGCGTCTTCACCTTCTCCATGAAAAATCTCGAGAAGTACACGGAAGACAAGGTCTCGAACAAACTGCTGAGGAATGGGATGTTGTCCATGGAAAGCTTGTCCCCGTCCACATCTTCTGGGTTCAAGGCGGCTGATTTTTCCAGTAAGTGGAGCACGTACTTCATCAACTCTTCGTTCTCCACAATCCGGGCCGCCCGGTTCGCGATTTCCTGCCCATCGGAGATTTGTTCAATGAACTTCTTGCGGGACAAGTCGTACGGGTCAGTTATTTTGCCTTGGTCCGCTGCACTCGACGCTCCCTTCTGTAAGACTTCCAAAACTTCTGCGTTCGTGCCTCTGTCTTCGCCGGTTTCCGCGATCAAATTGATGTTCGCTCGGGATTCGTGGAGACGTCGGACCAAATCCGTTGCTAATTGCAATAATTCGGCCAGGAACTCAAGTGATTCGACATACACCACGTGCTTCTTCGTCGTCGTAAACTTCGCACGCCACACAGCCTCCGCCACCCACGCTTGCGGGCGGTGGTGCACCGGGTAGGCGGAGCTCCGACTTGGTGCGCCGCCGGCGACGTAATTTGCTGGCACGGAGGAGGAAACGGCATTGATATTATCCGGTGCAACAACTAGAGCCTTTTTCTCCATAAACACCGTCGGCAACACCGAACCGGCCCCAACAGAGCTTGTGATCGAGTCATAATCGCCAAGCAGCAAGTTGCGCTTCGTCATCGCGAATCTCCTGCGCAGGCACTGCACAGCCCCCCAGAACCCTCTTCGCATCAAAGCCTTGTGCCCTCCATATAGCGAACGAGCGGTTGCCAAATTGTTCCAGTTCTCCAAGCGCCCCGGCCCGGCATTTTTTTTGTAGTCTTCATCTTTGAAATCGTGATTGTCGAAGTCCTGGCCGAACAGTGCGGAGCATTCCTTTTTAGAAGGTTGGGAAGAGGCAGCAGCCACTCTTGGTTCGTTGTCAATCATTTCGCCGACGATCTGTGCCGTTTCTGCTTTGTTCCCCTGCGAATGTGCGTCCGAGCTGATCCAGTTTTCCTCCACAGTCTGTAGGCTCAACAGTGGCGCTTCTGCTCGCAAGTACCAGTCCAAATCGGACAAGGACACAATGAAATCAGACAAGGAATTCTCAATCGCGTTGAAGTTTTCGGCCTGCTGTTCCAATTTCTGCTTACTCTCTCGGCTGATCGAGTGGTCAATCGCGTCTTCTGACCCTTCCGGCGGGAATTGTTGACCACCACCTGCTCCCTGGGCGGGAGATACAGATACCTTTCTGTAGTGCGTCACCACCGGGTAGGGTTTAGCCTGCTTGTCATCTCCTGAATTACCGTCCGAGCCTGTTCCTGCTTTCGCGGCCGTTCCGGAGCTGTCTTTCAGGAAACCTGTATCATCCCCGAACATGTGCAGCTGCTTCAAGTACTGCTGCACACGACGCGAAATCGTCTGTGTTTGCTGCAAGCAAGCCAAATACAGCGACTTCAGCTTCTGCTTCACGGAAGTTGTTGTACTACTAGTAGCCATCAACACCTGGCTCCTCCTCTCGTCGAGTAGTCCCTGTTTCAGCATCGAAACGAACAGTGGCAGTGCCCGCTTCTTCAGCTGCCGGTCGATTTTCGATGCGAGTAAAGTGTACTTTTGCCGCTCGCGGAGGAGTTTCTGCCGCGCTTCCTCGTAAGCACTAGAGAACGCGGACTCGTCGTCCGCCTGCCAGTACTTCCGTGTTTCTTGATTCGTGACGATCTTCTCCTTAACCTCGATCAAGTCGAACAGTTTTCCGTACAGATTCTTCATCTCTGCTGAGTTCATTTCCACACGGAGTTTAATCATCGCGGACTTCAGCTTCGGAATGAAGTTCTGGTGCGACCGAATGGCTTCGCCGCCTTCAATCGACTGTTGCTGCTCCTTGCGGATCGTGATTTGCGACGGATTTTCGTTTTCATTGACCTTGCTCCAGTTATTTAATGCGTTGATCGCCTTGTCCCTGTTGGTGTTTTCTGCCAGTTCAGCCTGTAATTGTTCCTCTGTTGCGATGATTTTCTGATTGTAGCTGTCATCAGCAACGAGCAAGACTGACCGCAAGAACGAAGACGCAAAGATCTCTGCGAAGCCCAGGAAGGATTTCGTAAAGTCGACTTTCTTGCCTTGTTCTATCAAATGTAAAAACGTCGCGTCGTCGCCCGGGACCCCAGACTCAAGATGGGCATAATTTTGTTGCTAAAGACAGCAAATTTTGGCTGTTGATGCGCATGACAACTCTGGTCATGTTTAGATGGCGAAGCCGCGTCACAAACCGATCACCTTAATATCCTGGTTCTAGCATGACAAACTCCCAGATAGAGTAATTAGAAAACGCCTCTCAAGATGAACATTATAGTGTTTGCGCGTGAGAAACATTTTGGGCATGCAGAGTTTTGCAAGGCAAATCTGGGTTGGACACAGACACCACGTTTTTCCGCACGATATCCTCTAGGTTTTCCATATCCTGCCGGTTGGCCAGCCCGTCGACAATGTCGAAGCGTTTCAAAGTATGCAGCATTCTTTCCGGCGCACCTTCCCGAGGCTGCAGAGAGGTGGGCTGAACGAACTTCGCTTCCTGAACTCCATCGTGGATATCGACCCTGTACGGGGATAGAATATCCTCCAGCGATTTGCCGCTTTCAAAGAACTTCGTTTTGCTGTTGCCAGAAGCCGTAGTTGTAGCGGCATACCACCCGAGGATGTGTTTCAGAGGGGAACTAAGCGCAAACGCGTTTACCAAGCAGCTGCTGTAGCTCGTGCTTTCCTGGTTCAATTCCAAAACTGGTGTGACGAAAATCGGGGTTCTCAAAATCTCCGTGCTGTCAGATGGTAGTTTCGAAAACACGGCATTTTCATCCTCTGTCATCAGCATCTCGTCGACCCCTTGCTTCAGCTTCAGCCAAGCCTGACGCAGGGCGTTGTGCCGGATCGCAGAAATCCGTTTTTTTGTATTTTCAAAAGAGTTCGCGGGCACAATGCCGAGCTCCTGCTTTTCCAAAATTTTCTGGTCGATCATCGTTGCGAAGGTCTGGTCCTTCCCGACGCCCTCCAGTCCAAAGTTCGGCCCGAGCAGGGACACATGCTCTACTACCGCTTTTAGCATTTTCTGAACGCCATCGGCGGAGAGGGTTGCTTGCTCTTGCTTGGTATGGATTGCAAATATGTCTGGGTCTGGGAAGTTGCGAGATTTGTCATGCTAGTCTGGCATGACTCTTAACTCTGTGTTGCGTCACCGCAAAGAGCGCCTCTTGCTTGTCATGCAAAAAGTCAGTTGCTCATGCGGAGTACGCAACTGAGAACCACGGAAAAACTTGTCATGCTTGGCAGCGCATTACAGTCTGCTCACTATTCCTCTTCTTACATCCCAAGTTTCCAGACCCAGACATATTCGCATTTGATACTTGGTTTGCTCCAGCTGCTGCAACTGTTCTCTCGTCGTTGGCACGTCGGTCATCTCAGTTTCTTCCGGATAATCGACGTCTTTGTCGCCAAAACTGCTCTGCGCACCATGTACAAAAATGTTCACGAGCCAAATCTGCTCGAGAAGCAGTGCCGCCAGTCGCGCCTTGCTGGATTCCACGTGGTTGGTCTGTAAGTGCTTCAGGAGCTTTTGAATGTTGCTCCAAGCGGGCGTGTTCTCTTCGTAGGGGGAAATCTTTGGCTCGAGCAGGTATTCCTTGACGCATCGTTCTCGTATCAGGCGAAAACACTTAGCCGGATCGGTCAAATGCTTGGTCTTGTGCTCATCCTCCGGATCCAGACGGTCCGCTTGTGGGAAGAAATATTCCTCTAAGTCGGCACGGCAAACGGAATAGACAAAGGGGAGCTGAGGGACGAGATTTTCAACATTCAGTCCCCCGGCCGCTCCATCGGTTCCCGCCGTGAATTGCACAGCTTTGCTGATAATCCTCCGACTGGTTCTCTCACTAACCGCTTTGGTCACTCGCTTCTCGTAAGCAGCCGCTTTCCGCCTTTGTCTTGCTAAGAATTCAATCAGCAATTTCCTCTTTTCGAACAAAGATTTCATTGCCGATCGCTTCTTCTGCATGACGCGCTCCAGCTTTTTCCGTTTTTTCATATCCCCCGTGTTCATGTCCGTTTGGACCTGTTGCTCCGCCGTCTCTTCTATCAAATGCAAAAGTGTCCGGGTCTGGAAGGTTGGAACTTGTGATGCTAACTTTGGACTCGAAAAAAATCTGTATTGCATGACCAGCAAGAGGCGTCTCGTTTGTGCTACGCGGCGAGGGCGTTTGTCATGCTGCGTAGGCATCAGGAAGGGTTCTAAAAGTCTGTGATGGTAGGGCATGCATCACACACAATCCTGGGTCATGCAAAACATGCATGACAAGTCTCAGAATCTTCCAGACCCAGACATTTTTACAATCCATATCTTCCTGTTGCGACTCCTTCTGTGACTGTTGCTGCGCCATCTGCTGCGCTTTCGCCGCGATGTTTTGCGCGACGACGTCTAACACCACCTGCTTCGAAGCCTGCATCTCAAAGTCCCACTCGTCCGCCTTCTGCAGGGACTTCTCCACGTGCGCCTGAGCGTTCTCCAATCGAATCGCTAGCACTTCGTTGACTCGGCCCTGCACCTGCTGGTTGGCGCGCATCGTCATCTTCATCTTTTTTCCAAACTGCTCGGCGGCACGCAATCCCTCTTCGACGGCATATGCGTGGTTCTTGAAGGATTGGAATTGCTGCGACTCCGCGAACACGTGGTGCGCAACCGCGGCCTGTTCCGCCGCGTTGTTCAGGGACCGTTCCGCGTCCTTTTTCTTCTTGTCGTTCTCCTCCACTTTTCCCTGCAGCTTATCCATTTCGACGTTCTGCGCCTGGATCTCCTTGGCTAACGCGGCAACCTCATTGAGGAGTTCATCCATCAGCTCCATCTGCTCGTCCATCGCGTTTTGCAGGGCGTTCTGGTGCTCCGCATCTCTCTGCTTCGATTCGTCCTGCTGCTTCTGCTGATCGTGCGGCATCTGGTGTTCCTTTGCCCGCTCGCGCTTGTGGTTTCGTTGCTTGCCCTTCAGCATCATACGGGACTTCCGGATCTGCTTGTTGTGCATGTTCTTTTCCGGAATGTCGGGATCTCTCGGCGTCGGTGGCGGCCGGTATTCGCGCTTCATAATCGCAATCGGCTGGTCACCACCGCCTATGGATTGTAAAAGTGTCTGGGTCTGGAAACTTGTGATGCTGGGTGGCGTATCATGAGGAGGCCGCAAGTGCTGGCTCAGCATGACAAGTTTCGGAGGTTCTAGGTGCTGCCTATTCTGCATGACAAACTGCGTTTCTGCATGACAGAAAAATGGCGCTCCTGGGTAATGTGCATGACAAATTTAAGAGTCACGTGAGACAAGCATGACAAACTTGCATTCTTCCAGACCTAGACATTTTTGCACTTGATACCGCCCTGCTCGCAAACACCGGCGGTGTCTCCGCCCCCGCCGGAACCGCCGAAGGCGTTGTTGAAAAACTCGCCGATGCGGCCAAAGACACCGCCACCGCTGGAATGCGTTTTCCAGGCGGATTTCTTAATTCCCTCAGCGCCGTTCTGCGGGATCCCCGCGGCTTTCGCGATGTGGTCCGGCTTGTCCGAAGCGGAAAAGATGACGCAGTGCTGTTCCGGGATGGAAGCGCCGATGTCTACCGGGTAGGCGTTATCAACTGCAAAAGTGTCACGGTCTGGAAGAGTGCCAGACTTGTCATGCAGGTTTTCCATGACCCATGAGCTCGTCTCGTATGCAGGACATAGCATAACAGATTCTGTGAGAGTTCTATCATGCCTATCCTGCATGAGAAACTGCCTCTCGATTAGGTCAAAAGTGGCCAGCTTTTGGTAATCATGCAACACAGATTTTTACATGATTCAGATTTAGCAAGACAAGTTGCTTCGTTCCAGACCCAGACATTTTTGCATTTGATACGCGTTGTAGGTCTCGTATTTGTCTTCTCGGATCATCCACTTGACAAAACCGGTGACTGCCCGGATGAGAATCGACGCAAATGACCACGGACTGGTCACGACGGACGCGATGTATCATGTTGAAAAACGTCCCCACCCCAGAGTCAAGATGGTGATTTTTCTACACAAATCAACAAGCAGCTTTGGCTGTTTCGCATGACAAGCTGAGACTCGTAGTGTAGTGCTGTTCGAGGTAGTGCAGCCGCATGACAAATCGACTACCTTATCCTGAGTCCAGCATCACAAACTTCCAGATAGCATGAGAAACTGCCTCTTATGGGGCTGCGCATGAGAAACACTTGAGGCATGCTATTTTGCATGACAAGTCTGGGGTGGGGACGTTTTCACAAATGATACGATGAGGGTTTTAATCAGGCCCCACACGTCAAAGCTGCCCGGCATGTCGATCCACATACTGGACTCGGAGTCTTTCAGCGCCTCGAAATCGAACTGCAGGGCATAGTGGTAGCCGTAATCGTCGGACATTTCCCTCTCCGTCATGGTCAATCCGTACTTGCCACTGTTCCCCGACAATCGGATTCCATCGAAGCCGTCGGACAAAGGCGAGCAGTCCCCGCCAAAGCCCATGAAGTGCTGCTCCTTCGGATCCAAGGAGTCCGCCGGTTGGTAGCCCGCGTTGTCGTCTTTTCGCGTCTCAGCGGGCCAGTGGACCTTGTGGTGATAGTCGGGAAGGACAGCGAGGTTCGCGTCGCGACCCACCATGGTGAACTCCTGCCGTTCCGCGATGTCGGTCCGCGTTTCCTGATTCGAGTCGCTGTTTTCGTTCTGTTTTTGGCGCTCTTCTCGGTCCTCGGTCGACAGCAGCGTTCTCTTCTGCCGTTGAGTCTGTCTCGCCTCTGGCTGCGCGTCGTCGCCAAATGTCTCCTCGTTTTCCCCGTCTTTTTCCACCACCAGTCTGAAAGACCCGGGAGTCCCGCCCTCTCCGCGGAAGCCTGCGGCACCGGGCAACCCTGGCCACTCGCCCTCCGCACCGAAGCTTCCTTGCGCGATCGTCGCGGCGAAATCGCGGGCGGTCTTTCCGCGAGTGCCCGTTCGGGACAACTGCCGGTCGAGCTGCTGTGCGAGGTCAATCGTCAAGAATATTTCGGAGACGATGGCGCCGCCAAAAATCCAATTTTCCAAGCCGAGGAGCTTACCGAGCCACTCCCGCGACTTCGCGTCGTGCTTCACCCAGTAGTTGTGCAAAAATTTCGACCCGGAAACCCCGTTCGCGCCGTCCGATTGCGCGCCGTTGTCCCCGATACCGCCGATCTGTCCGCCGGTGCCGCGACCACCTTCCACGTTGATGGAGAGAAGCCTTGCTAACTCCACGTAGGGGACGCCCTCGTGGAGCATCTTCACCCGGTCTTCGGATAGATTTTCCGGTTTCTGCAGGTCTTTGAACGATGGTTCATACGGAGCCCTGTTCCGCCAGGACCGGCCTCCCGCCCTGACCCGGATCAGGTGGTGGCCGGCGTGCTGACCGGGAATGCCGTCCAAACCATGCCCACCCTGCAGTCCGGCTGGAGTCCCCGTCGCCTCGCCCTTGCGCATGTCAATACCGGCGGTGGAGCGGACGAACTGCACGGAGTACTGCCACCGCGCGAGATCGCTGTCCCCCGTGTAGTCGTTCGACTCGTCTTCCTGCCGTTTCGCCTCGTCCTGCTCTTCCTTCCTTCTCTCGTCCTCGGACAGATTTTTCTGCCTCTCGGTCTCGCGATCCCGCTTGTTCATCGCCAGTCGTTCCAGGTCGATCTTCCCCTTCTCCTTGTGGAACTCATCAGTATGCGTCCCCCCCTCCCTGAAGTCCCGGACCGTGGTCGCGACGGCCAACCGCTCATCTCGGCCGGCCCTCCGCTTTTGCAGCAGCGCCTCCGCTTGCCTCTTCGTCGTGTCCCCCTCGATCATCATGGGCGCCTCGTTCGGCATCGCGAAAAACGGGGAACCGGCCGCCCACTTGTTTGGCTTGTTGTTGATCACCTCGGTCCCGTGCCCGTCTGACCAGGAAAACTTCCACACATTGTCCGGCTTCATGAACGAGGGGTCATACAGTGCAACGTTGGCCGGGTTCGTTGGGCTGTAGGACTCCGGCTCGACGGCCTTGAGCTGACGGAGAGAGTATTTGTACCACTCATTCTTGTCCCTCGGCTGGCGATCCTGCTCGAGTTCATAAGCGTTCTTGTCCGCCCCGTCGTCGACTGCATCCTCGCGGTCTTTGTTTTTCGACTTACTCGGCCGGTGCACGAACTCATCCCTGATTCCATACAGTTCCCGGAACTGCTGTTTTACCACTTGGTACTCCTTCAGTGGCCGCATCTCCTCCTTCACGGGCAGGGCGCGCGTGTAGTCGTAGCGCCGGTACTGTAAGTGGTCGACTCGCCTGCGCCCCGCGGTGGAGATGGTAACGGGGAGTAAATCAAAATACAAATCTCGTCCGTTGTTCCAGCCGTTGAGAACCGCGCCCTGGGAGCCGTTGGGCCTGGAGAGCTTGTCGAGCGCCATCTTCTTCGTGGGCTCATCATTCGCACCTTCCGCGTCGAGTACTTTCTCCGGAGTTTTGTACCCAAAACCCTCCGCGTAACGCCAGTAGTCCGCGATGTCGTGCGTGCTGTCACAAGGCGCCCGCTCCCCGTGCACATGCCCGGTTTTCGGCCGGTTTTTGCAGTCTTCGCAGCCGAAAAGCTTCTTCGCGCCGTTGACGACCGTTTTCCCGAACTTGCAGAAACCAATCAGAGCGTCGTCCAGTTGGTCTGTGTCCCGCGCTTCTGCGCCCCGCTGTGGTGCACTTTGTCTTTTCTTTTCCTCTTGCGCCGCTATTTTCGAAGCTTCATGTCGGAAGGCAAACGCTTGCTCACGGCTTAAAGTGCCGCAGTGGTGCAGCATCCGGTTGTAGAAGTTGCAGCCAGGAGACGGCGAGGAGCGCCACCGATCCAGTGGATCCCGGGTCTCGTACGTCAAGTTGTTCACTTGTGGCCCTTCAGTCGGTCTGGTAACACTCATGTCGCAGTCGCACATCTGGTTCTCGTTCCAAGACTATCAAAAGGAAAAATCCCCCCTCCCCATATCAAAACGGAATTTCTGGCGCTGGATTTGTGTACACAAATCAGCTTTGTATTGCAGGAAGGGATGGCC